AGTGCCCTGTGGGATCATGGAAAACACCTGCAGCTGCTCCTGTCCTTGGAAACACCCAGGTAAATTATGCCTCACCTAGATATCTCACATAGGTATGCAGGTTTACACAGACAAGGTGAGTATACATTCAGCAAATAAATACAATCCCGTCTTAAGTATCTGTGGATGAATTCATCTGTGACTTATCCGAGGGAAATGTGAAAACCCAGCCAGCTACCTCAGCCTCCCTACCTATGCTGAGGAGGCTGCTTCCTGCCAGCCTCCGGTGTGGGCCTGAAATGTGATATTTGGAGCCAATGGGGAGGGAGAAACTCCTCTGACCCCTCAACACCCACCCCGTGACCACTCATGCCATTCACTGCCTCAATTTCATATTTTTAAGTTATTTTACATACTGTTTTACTTGACTTTTTATTCTTTCATATGTGTCAGTTTTACCTCCTTCTCAGTCCAGCAAGCCCCCAGCAAGGGGGTGGTAATCTCACAGATTATTGTATATCCTTACACACTATCAGTGTGGCATGGGAACAAAGCACTGTGCAAGGGGTCAGCAGACAACAATCCTAGTTCCAGCTTTACTGCCACTTTCTTCTACTACTTTGGGCCTCACTCTCCTCAACCATAAAATATAAGACTGCTATATGGTACCTTTTGTGAACTTTTCTGGAGCTGAGGAGAGCAGCAAGGGCCTGAGTATGTGGACCACACAGCCGCAGCCTGGCCACCAAGGGGATAGCATCTCTCCCAGGTGTCTCAGAGCTCCCCGTGCACATCTGTGTCTACCCACAAGGTGATACCTGACCCTAATGGTCCATTTCCCTATTACAGTGTTGGTGACTGGGCCTCATTCACTGTTGTATCTCAATGCCTAGCACATTGTGGAAAAAAACAAACAAAAACTCACTGCCATCGAGCTGATTCTGACTCATGGAGACCCCATGTGTTACATGATAGAACTGCTCCATAGGGTTTTCTTTTCTCTAATCTTTGTGGAAGCCGATCACCAGGCCTTTTCTTATGCTGAGCCGCTGGGTGGGTTTGATCCACCAGTCGGTAGGTTAGTAGCTGATTGCAGATCGCTTGCACCACCCAGACTCTTTATCGTAGGTGCCCAATAAATAGGTATTGAAAGAATAAACTAATGAATGAACAAATGTATCTTGTTTGAAGGCTCAGGTCAGAAGCCTCTCTCAGGTGTAATGGAGGTGGGAGAATAAGTCTAGAAAGCAATGAGGAAAGAGTTCCTAGGATGTCCAAGTTCATCAGATACTGAGGTGGTCCCAGGCCCAGCATGGGGGTGAGGCTGCTACTTCCAGCTGTTACTTCCCAGATGGTGATACACACTTCAACCCCCAGCCACAAACTCCAGGCTCTGGTAACAAGCCAATGAGATGGTGTCAACAGCGTCCTGAGGAGTGCCGGTATCACCCAACCCACCCAGCCTGTGCCCACGGGCTGTTGCTACATGCCAACAGTTACCTTGCTGGGATTTCTAGGTACTGTGCTCCTGGGTTCAGACAGAGCCTCTCAGTCCCCACCTCAGAGGAAGAGCCAGAGAGGCATCCAGTTTCTCCCCTACTTTTCTCTCCCAGAAATTTCCTGTTTGGCAGCCCTCCTTAGCACCGAATAGGGAGACTTGGTGAAGCATCCCAATTCTGGGAACAAATGAGAAGATTAAAGTGATCGGGGGCACATGGCCAAGACACACCTGGAATTCTTTCTTGTCTAAATCCGTTTGGTCACTTTTTGTATGGGTGTGTCTCAGCCATCCCACTCCCTCAGCCTTCAGACACACCTTGTGTCTCCCTGCCTTGTTTTCTTTCTCCACCAACCTCACAACATTTATCACCTCCCAGATCCAATCTCTGGAATCCATCACCTGCCAAGGGCCTCAGTGTCCCTCTGAGGATAGTAGAGAAGGAAATGGATGGGCAGGGAACAGGGAAGTTGAAGACATTTGGCTCTCCAAACTTGGACTCCAGAGGACATACCACAGCCCTTGAATCCGTCACTCGCCAAAACCTCAAGAAAACACCTTCCAGTCAGACTCAATGGTACAGAGTTGGAGAGACTCAGGAATGCTTGGAGGAGGGAAAGGAATAAATGAGACAACTTTTATCTTTAAATGAGACAACCTCTATTGAGTGAGCTTCTGCCACAATTCTATTTAGGGTGCTAGGAGGCAAGTTGGGGACAGGAGAAACACCCCTAACCTTCAGAGTTAAACAAACACCAGAAAACCAAAGCAAGTGGAAAAAAATACACTGAAGTATGAGCCAAATACAGGAGGTCTGAGGGAACAGATGAAAAGCACTAGCCTTTGGAGGCAGTGTATCTGAAAAAGCTTCTTGAGAGTGACTTTTAAGCAGAACAATAAAGGAGGTTAAAAACAAAACCAAACAAAAAGCCTTTCTTGGCAGAAAGGAAAAAAGACATTAGCCAGTGTTGAAAGTCTGTGGCATTTTTAAATGTTAAAGGGTGTAGTAACACAGGCTGTCAGGGAGACTGAGGTGTCCTAAGCATTAACGTAGACAAAGTCACAGTGAAGGTAGAAAGTCAGAGAAGAGTGAAGGAGGAAGAGAAGTGAAAGACATCCACGTCAATCTATTTCACCAAAGTTGGTGAGTGAGACATCTCTAGCTTCAGAAACAACAATCCTGGTGGGAAAATTAGAGAGCGGGAGGGAGAGAAAGAAGTGGACAACTTCACACAAGAGGCAATGGCTGAGTGAAAGGATGGAAATAAAGTGAGATGACAATGTCTAGGAATGGAAACCTTAGGACAGGGCATGGGAAAGAGGAATGACCCAGGAAGAAAGGAAGCCTGGAGGGAGTTTCCCAAATGGGGAAATCAGTGGGAGAATGCCCCAGCAGCCTCCATTCTGATGGGCATTTCAGATGACACTCTTTCCGTGGCCTTTGTTTGGTGGAACGCTCTGCGTGGGTTTACTCAGCACTGCTCAGGAAACAAGTATCCCTTCTTCTGGGAGAGAGATTATCACGTACCAAGGAGTACAGAAAACAGAAACAATTATTATTTCCACTCCAGGAGCATGCACCACCCCAGCTAGGACTCAGGCACACTGGCAACCAGCTGAGAGAGGCCCAGTGCTCCTCTTGGCCTGTGTCAACAAAAGCTATGATTCATTGTTCCCTGTGGAACTGAGACTCTCAAATGATCTCTAGATGATGGGGAGGCTCACCCACTGGCCTCAGCCTCAAGGAGGAAGCCATTCAGAGAACAGAGAACCACCACTCCAGATGCCAACCTGCCATTCCAGGCAATCAAAAGTACCTACCAACCCTTTGGTTATCCTTGTGCCTCTGAAAGGACAACCGTGAGGAAAGACCATGGAATTTGGGTCTGCTTCTCATTAGGGAGGCAATATTGGTCTGCTTAAGTAACCATTCTGGGACTCAGTTTCCTCTTCCACAAAATGGAGACTGAATAGACTTCATTTTCTCTCTCACTCTCCCATCCTTCAAAATCACAGTAAGAAGCAAGAGGTCAGTAAGCTAAGAGAAGATCTAACAATTTCCCCATTTTAGAGATGCACAAATTGAGGCTCCGGGGAGTTTGATGACTTGCTCAAGGTCCCACAGCTAGTAAGTGGCAGGGCTAGAAGTCAAACCCAAGTCATGGTAGAGATGGGGAGTTGAGATGCAGAAAAAATGGGGACAAGGAGCCTTATAGACTCCCTACCAGTTTGTAAACTAATAGAGAATATCGGGCACAGTCAACAAGACTAATGGGGAAGAAAGGAAAGAAAAAGTAATACTCTCTACAGGGTGCAACCATCAGAGCTCTTTCAATGAAAGAGGAAAGAATCTGGGACTCCTAGTCCGCAGGAGGAGGAGTGATCAGCATGGGAGACTTCTGGAATGAGGTAGCCTTAAATAGAGCTTGGAGGTAGAGTTTTAATGTATACCGTCTTGTTCATTATTTAATGTACTTCCGTGTTGTCTTCCCAGCAGGATTATGAACTTATTATTAAAGAAGAAAAAAGTGTATTATGCTTCTTTTGAATCCCCATAGGACTTGTCACAGGACTTGACACCTAGCTGGCCCTTCATTAACCCTCACTTGATTGTATTGGACAGAGAGAAGACTCAACAAACAGTTACTCAGCACTGACATGTACCAGGCATTGCAAAAGTCATTTTCACATGTTAGCTCACTTAATACTCACCACAAACCCCGTTTAACAGATGCACAAAATGAAGTTCAGAGGAGTTTCATAACTTTCCCAAGGTCCCACAATTAATAAATGATAGGGCGAGGATTCAAACCCAAGTCTTTTTCACTCTCACGACTACTCTCAACCAAAGGCAGAAGGCCTGACTTTGAAAGTCACATTATACTGAACTAGGCACACCTGCACACACACACTCTCGTGCTCCAGAAAATCATTTATGAGCTACACAACAGAGACGGAAGAAGCTTAATAGCAAAATAAAGGGGCAATCAAACCTGGGTGGATTCCTAAGGAAGATGTATGCAGAGCAAGATTTTCAAGATCTGGAAGGACAGCTTGGGCGTGGTGAGGTGGGGGCTGGGCAATAGTGGCTGAGAAAATGCTCAGGAATAGGAAGGAAACAGTGCATGGCAGTCATTTGTATTGACATAAGATGTTCGGACAGGAAGGTCCCAGGCCTAAGAAAGAGTTTTGAAAATGAGGCAGTGTTTGCTGAAGTCCATCATAGGATACATGATTAGGACATGACTGAAAGCAATTAACGTGCTTCTCACTTGTCTGCTGATCAAGTTGCAACGAGAAAGGAGTTTCCACGTGGGGGAGGGATGCCAGGGAGCCAACCAGTGGCTTTGACCCATCTCTAGTTGGGGGCTGAATGTGAGCTCAGGGCTGGCGGATGCCTAGGGGATGCCATCAGCCAGCCCTCCTCCATTAGTAGTGCCCCGCCCCTCCTGGAGAGCCATAAAAGCCAAGGGGGCCTGGGGCTCCCCAGAGACTCTGTTTCCTCTATCCCCCTTCCCACACCTCTGCCCAGGGCTTCTTCCTGCGATCTTCCCCATCCACCATGTCTCAGCAGTCCTCCGTCACCTTCCAGACCGGCAGCCGCAGGGGCTTCAGCAGTACCTCGGCCACCACCCCTGCAGCCAGATACTCCCGCTTCAGCTCCATCTCAGTGGCCCTCTCCTCAGGGAGCAATGGAGGGCTGGGGAGGATCAGCAGCACACGGGCTGGATTTGGAAGCCGCAGCCTCTACAACCTGGGGGGGACCAAGCGGGCCTCGGTCAGTGGGTGCAACAGCAGCTTCCAGAGTGGCTTTGGCAGCAGGGCTGGCAGCAGGTTTGGCTTCAGAAGTGGGGTCAGCAATGGATTTGGCTATGGAGATGGGGTTGGAGGGAGCTTTGGGAGTCCTGGCGTCCCTGTCTGCCCCTCTGGTGGCATCTAAGAGATCATTGTCAACCAAAGCCTCCTGACTCCCCTGAACCTGCAAATTGACCCTACCATCCAGAGGGTATGGAAAGAGGAATGAGAGCAGATCAAAACCCTCAACAAGTTCGCCTCCTTCACCAACAAGGTAAGTCAAGAACCTCATCTGTTCTACTGGGTTTGAGGTGAATGAACTCTCAGAGGGGCTAGGCCCAGAGGGAAGCACAATAATGCAATGGGCTCCCTGTAAGGAAGTGCCTCCATTCATGCAGTGCCATGAGGCTGAGCATTTTAAAGTCAGGCCAGCTTGCCCCACAGAACCTTGTAGAAATTTCTCATCAACCTCCTTCAGATCCATGTGTTTTCATTCAGAGTCAACACCTAGGGGAGAATCAAGTTGATTCTCCACAGGGAGGAGAATTTCCAATGAACAGACTAAATTAACCAAGAGCAAGCAGCGTCAAGAAACTCAACTCAAGAATATAAGTTCCCCCATAGAGGCTTCTAAGCCCCAGTACACTAATTCTATGGAAGCCCTAGGGGACATTGGGGTAGTTGCACGGACTTCCTCATTTTTCGTTGGAGTTGTCAATTATATAGTTGCCAATGTGTGTTAGGTGAAAAATATCTTTCTCTTCTCACCCTAATGAATAAAGGTGTCTGGTTGTGCCTCCTCAGCTTCTTAAGATTTAATTCTCTTCTTCTCCCCTCCAGGTGAGGTTCCTAGAGCAGCAGAACAAGGTCCTAGAGACTAAGTGGAACCTCCTGCAGGAACAGGGTTCCAGGACCATGAGGCAGAACCTGGAGCCCCTCTTTGATGTCTACACTAGTGAGCTCCGATGGCAGCTGGACAGCATCACCACTGAGAGGGGCAGGCTCGAAGCTGAGCTGCGGAACATGCAGGATGTCATTGAAGACTTCAAAGTCCGGTAAGTGGGGGACAGGCTTCTGGCCACACGTGGCCATCCTAGGACTCCTTTTTAAGAGGACCAGAGAGGTGCAAAGAAGGAAATGCCAGTGTCAGCTGAGAGCTTTGGAACTTCCAGTGATTGTCCCATAAGACAAAGACAGCATGGTGTGAGGTCACCAAGGGACCCTCATCTTGTGTATTGCTAGTAACAAGGAGTCTATTCTTATCTATCTACTTGCCTGCAAAAGGACACTGGCAACACCTAGAAAAGCATTACTGCTCACACTGAAAAGCATATTATTTTACGTCAGCACGTTATTTAACACCACTGGACATGAGCTCTGTTAGTGAGATGGTTTGCATTTCCAGGATGCATATTACCTGGGGAGTGAAGAGAGGTGGCAAGGGAGAAGCGAGCATATAAACAAGGCAAGCTGACCCTCCTCATGAGGCAAATTTTGACTGCACATCATTCAGGCTGCAGTAGATGAGGTATCCAAAGGAGAGAGATGGTCCTAGCTAACCACTTAGCAGGCGTACCCTTGGTTTCTGAGTTTGAGCTACATCTAGTTACAAAACACACACTGCTCAAATGCCACTCTGAGGTTCAGTGAAAATATATGAAAATATTCCAGGAACAGAGTCCTGAACAGATAAAATTTACCCTACAGTTTCAGCAGGCACTTGAGGCAGGAAAAAATTTTAAAGATTGGAACTATGCATCTGTAAAAAGATGGAATTGCAAAAGTACGTATTTCTATTCCCATAAGTTCTATTCTCACCTTTTCGTCTTGTAAAAAAAAACAAAAAACAAACAAAAAAAAACTTCTGGCAGAAGAAATTATTCCTATTTTATAGAGGGAGAAAGAGGTTAAATGAGTCACACAAAGTCACACACAGGTCAGCCGAAGAGTTGTGAAGGATTTGCGGTCTCTTTGCTCTTGCTACACCATTATGGTCTTCCTCGGCCTAAGGAAGAATTAAATTGAATTCTTGTTCAACAGCACACCTCCCTCCCCTTACAGGTATGAAGATGAAATCAACAAGCGCACAGCTGCTGAGAATGAGTTTGTAGCCCTGAAGAAGGTGAGTGGAAATGTCTCTCCAAGGAGAAGATTCAAAATGGAATCTTGGAGTGGGGGTGGCCTGACACGGGCCAATCAAGAAAAGTCATGTCAACCTTGAGAATATCTGGATTGCTCACACCTGCTGGGATACTCCCTCTGTATTTATGGCCCCATTGACCCCGCTTGGGTTTCTGTTAGCCCAGGGAGCTCAAGCCCCCAGTACTCAGTGTATCACCCATCCCCAACCCCAAACCCTCCAGAGTTTGCTAAAACCCAACATAGAAGAACCAAAGAGGAGTTTTCTCAGCTTCCTTTTGGTGCCCTGCTTGGTGCCAGGGTCTCAGAGGAGCCTGTACTGTCATTACAGGGCGTGGATGGTGCCTACATGAACAAGGTGGAGCTGGAGGCCAAGGTCAACTCTCTAACCGACAAGATCAACTTCTTCCGGATGCTCTGTGAGGCAGTAAGAGTCTGCAAATGTTTTTGTTCTTCCTAGGTTTGCAGCCTGGAAAAAAATGGATGCTCCAGAAAGTGTCACCTACTTAGTGCCTCTACGTGGCATTATGGCCCAAATACTCCAAGCATAGGTCTGGGGGCTAGTGGGGATCAGAGATACTGCTTGAAACCTTGAAACCACATGAGACCCCACCCCATGGCAGGACAAGCCCTAGCAAGGAGGACGTGCTGATTCACATCTTCCCAGTCACTGGGTAGCATTTTCAAGGATTTCTTGACTTCTCCTTTCCTCCTCCCAGAAAAGTTCACAAAGGTCAGCTGCCTCTCAGTTCACTAGCCAGGTGCTTCTTGCCCCCTGAAGATGCCCTATTCTGGCATTTCCACTCTGAAGGCAGAGAGCAGGGTCTGTGGAAAGGGAGAGAGAAAAAGGGAATGATGAAGTCACAATATGCAGGGGGCACAGGGCCCTAAAAATCACTCCAAACCAAACCCACTGCCATCAAGTCAATTCCAATTCATAGTGACCTCATAGGGTTTCCAAGGCTGCAAATCTCTATGGAAGCAGACTGCCACATCTTCCTTACACAGTCGCTGGTGGTTTCAAACTGCCAACCTTTAGGTTATCAGTCAATCACTTTAACCACTGCGCCACCATGGCTCCTTCAAAATCACTCAATCCTGAAGAAACTTTCTATGCTGCTATATAAACAACATATGTCATATTCAAATCTATGAAATTTGCATACAGAGAACACTTACCTATCCTTCACATTGGGGAAGCCCACAGATGGGAGCTTGGAAAAGTGATGCTGGGAAAACAGTCCCATCACACTGATTATGGCCCAGAACCCTCCTGGGCATTAGTACGGGACCTCCTGAATGTCAGCAAGCACCCAGGAAAGAGCTGGAAGAATATCTGCCAGGAATACCCAAGAAGGGATTCCTGACCTAGTGGATAGCCAGCTGTATGATCTCAAGAGCCCTTCCAGTTCAGAAGTTGTATGTCTCAGTGACGCTGAGTTTACTGGCTCTGCAGGAGCTGTCCCAGATGCAGACTCAGGTCAGTGACACATCTGTGGTGCTATCCATGGACAACAACCGCAGCCTGGACCTGGATAGCATCATCGCTGAGGTCAAAGCACAGTATGAGGACTTCGCCAACCGTAGCCAGGCTGAGGCTGAGTCCTGGTACCAGACCAAGGTGAGTTTGGCCACTTCTGTGATAAGTTCCAGGGCTAGTGTTCTCTGTGGCCTCATATCATCATTTACTTCTCAGCCACAAGCCTCAGGAAACTCATGAGCATTTCTATTTATTTCGACTTGGCAGAAACTGTTCTGATGCTATATGGAAATCTAACCATGTATACTAATACTTGGTCAGAGGGACATCAGCCGTCCCCACAGTACTTAGGATCGGGTTGGGAGCTGGAAGAGACTTCAGAACAACCAGGGAACAGTCATAAAACAATTCCTATAGAGCTTATCTGTTCACTACATATTTACTGAACTCTGACTACATGCCAAGCAGAGTTGCAGGGTTGTGAGTGAATATACTGCAAACAGAGAACCCAAGCTCTAGGAGGCCAGGAAGTGAACAGGCAATCATGGAAGGGAAAAAGATGACATTAATAAAAAGCCTCCAGGAAGAGGTGGGATTTTAGTTCCATTTGGGAGCAGTGAAGGACAAAAGATAGCCAAGGTGGGAGAGATACTTAAGGCTGAGCAAGCGGTCCTGTGTGGCTAGAGGGCAGGATTAAGCACTTGGCCAAGCAAGACAACCAGTGTAGAGAACAGGAAGAGGGAGGTTGGGGTGACTGTAGAGAGCTACTGATCGAAGGATCAGATGGCCAGAAGGAGGCTTGGCTTTGGAGGGGTGTAGCCTGGATAATCCAACCAGATGAAATCATCTCTCTGCCAAATTCAGACCCCTTACAGGGCAGCTGTCACCCACAAGGAACTCCTATCCCTTGCCCTGCTCTGTGCACTGCCTTTGTTCTTCTGGTCAGCAGGGTGGTGACTAGGAAGAAGGGGGTCAGATGTCAGGGCACCACACTGCAGAGGCAGCCCCTTGACAGTGAGTAGGGGTGCAATACAGATAACCCCAAGGTGAAGTGGTTTAAATTAATAGTAAATAATTCCTTGTGTTGCTGTGGCTGTAGTTCTCTTTGATGGTGTGTATCTGGGAACAGACGAAGCTGTGCTATTCAGCACTCTCAAAGCTGTAAAGTTCTTAGTTCAGGCAGGGGCTCTTCTTCAGCTGGAAAAGGTGTCATGTGTGCCACTCCAGTCTACTGGAGGAGATAGGCACATATTTCTCCTGAATAATTGTGTCCTGGATATGCAGCATTAGACAGAGAGCTATCTGAGAGTGGGGATTCTTTTGCCAAGTCTCCAAACATATGCCCTTTGTATCCTCTGCATCTCCCAAAACTACTTCCCCCATCTCCTCCCCATCTCCCCAGAACTGGTGTTTGGAGGGAGCTCCACCAAAACTCATGGTCACTGTTGGTCTGGACACACGCCCCACAACCAGGACCTCCCCAAAGACAGTGATCAAGTCACCTCCTCATTCCTGGAACTCACCCTGCTCCTTCCTGCCCAGGGTCTTCATACACGCTGTCTCCTTTGTCTGGCATGCCTCCCCCAGCACCCACTCTCCCCCAACCCCTGTCACTTAAGTAACTCTTTCCCATCCTCCAGACCACAGCTTGAGCATCTGCATCTCTGTCTCCAGAAAGACTTCCCCGACCACCACCCCCGACTTCCAAATCTAGGTTAGATTCCCTTACTTGACACTCTCCTAGGACCTGTTCATTTCCTAAGGAGCCACTTGTCTCAGTTTGGAACTACAAATTTAATAATATGCTGATTTGATTAATGTCTATCTCCCTATTAACTATAACCTTCAGGGGAGCGGGGGCCCAGTTTTGCTCATCATGGTATCCGCCAGAGTCTAGTACATGCCTGGAAAGTAGATGTGCTCAAGAAACAACACCTGAGTAAATGAGTGAGGGCATGAGTGAATGACCAGTGAATGAATGACCTGCTTGTGGCACCTAGGGCCAGAGTGTGCACATAGGGAGCACCAGGCCAGACATTTGACTGAGCGGCTGAGTCTGCGCTGGTTCTATCAGTATGAAGAGCCGCAGGTCACGGCGGGCAGACACTGCGATGACCGCCACAACACCAAACATGAGATCTCCGAGATGAACCGGATGATCCAGAGGCTGAGAGCTGAGATTGACAACGTCAAGAAGCAGGTAAAGGTTTGGCTGAGCCAAGAACGCTCCACACGTACATTTCGTCTGGGTTATTCTTCCATGCTTACAGGACTTCTACCAAAAAGCACCAGACCTCCAGGGGCTGTCAGAGGTAAACCCCAGTGGGGCTCATGGCTTCCTCCTGTCCTTGTAGTGTGCCAACCTGCAAACGGCCATTGCTGATGAAGAACAGTGCGGAGAGCTGGCCCTCAAGGATGCAAGAGCCAAGCTGGTGGACCTTGAGGAGGCCCTGCAGAAGGCCAAGCAGGACATGGCCCGGCTGCTGTGTGAGTACCAGGAGCTGATGAACATCAAGCTGGCCCTGGACGTGGAGATTGCCACCTACAGGAAGCTGCTGGAGGGCGAGGAATGCAGGTGAGGGCGATGCACTAACTCCAGCCTCAAAGCAAGTGGAGCTCACCCCAGCTGCCTGGGCATTCCTGGGGGCTCACGCTGCTACAGCCCCCTCCTCATCTAGAAAAGGGAGCAAAAGCGCATGTGGAATTGGGCTATGACAAAGATTACTTCCAGGCTAGGAAATCATTATCAGATTCCTATATTTGAGATGCAACTACTTTTAGCACCCCATAGAAATCTAGGATATGATAATGTCTAAGTAATCAAATCTATCAAAGGAGAAAGTTGATTACGTGGCAGATCTGGATACGTGGTCTAAAAGGCTCCGGATTGAAAATAAACTACCATAATAACTTACAGGTCTACCCTTAACTAGCCAGTATCCCCTCTCTGGACTTCAATATCTTCATTAATAGAATGAGGAGGCCAGATTACACAATCCTTAAAGCTCAGTCTGAGCTTTGTGCTCTGCCAATTATCAGCTGTGTAACCATGGCCAAATTACTTCTGCATGCCTGTGTCCTCATCTATAAAATGGGGATAATAATAGTTTAAATAAGTGAAATACACTGAAATATACTGAAGCTTTTAGAGTAATGTGTGGCATAGAACAAGTGCTCAATAAATGTTCATTGTCATTCAGTTTAGTGATCAAAGACATAGATGTGGAATCAAATGAACCTGGCTTCAGATCTAGCTTTGTCACTCTAAGCAAGTTAGTTAACCTCTCTGAGCTTCAATTTCTCCTTCTGTAAATTTGAGAAAACAGCGCCTATCTAATGGGGTTGTTGAAAGAATTAAATGACATAATGTAAGTAACAGGTACCCAATAAATGTTAGCTCTTTTTAATGTTTATGGATGAATGCCAGTTAAGTTCTCAAGATACTTAAGCAAAATTACTCAAGCTGCTAAGATAATGATAGACTAACAATTGCTATTATTATTTTTATGACTCAGACTCCTTTCCACACCTATAATAACTTCAGCAGTGGCCTAGTGCATGACAATAGTCCATTGTTGAAAAAGAGTCTTCCTGTTGCATGACAAGCCCTAAGTTTCCAATTGACGCCAGTGTATGATTAGTTTTAATTTCCTGAAGATGTCTAACTAGTTTAACCAAAAATGCAATTCTGATATTACAGGTTTTACTTCTCTATACCTCAAACTCCATATTATTTTATTAATTAGATTATTATTTTTAATACTACTAGTATTTAAATAACTTCAACCTGCACTACTTCTGCAATAAAAATAATAAGGGCTTTTCCAAAGCTAAGAAGTTTCCTGAATACAGGCAAACACTTTGAGGGTCAGAGTAGCAGGGGTAGAGATCTGGGGACCATGCTTTCAGAGGACATGTAGGTCAACTGGCATAACAAAGCTTATTAAGAAAATGTTCTGCATCCTACTTTGGTGAGTGGCATCTGGGGTCTTAAAAGCTTGCAAGCAGCCATCTAAGATGCATCAGTTGGTCCCAGCCACCTGGAGTAAAGAAGAGTGAAGAACACCAAAGACACAAGGAAAGTATTAGTCCAAGAGACAGAAGGGACCACATAAGCCAGAGACTTCATCAGCCTGAGACCAGAAGAACTAAAGGGTGCCCGGCTACCACCAATGACCACCCTGACAGGGAACACAACAGAGTCCCTGATGGAGCAGGAGAAAGGTGGGGCACAGAATTCAAATTCTAGTAAGAAGACCAGACTTAATGGTCAGACTGAGACTGGAGGAACCCCAAAAAGCACGGCCCCCAGATTCTCTATCACCCCAGAACTAAAATAATTTTCGAGGCCAACTCTTCAGACAAGGATTGGACTGGACCGTGGGACATAAACTGATACTCTTGAGGGGTATGCCTCTTAGCTGAAGTAGATACAAGAGACTAAATGGGCTGCTTCTGTCCGGAGGTGAGATGGGAAGGCAGAGAGGGTTAGCAGCTGGTTGAATGGATGTGGGGAATCAGGTGGAAAGGAGGAGTGTGTTGTCACAGTATGGAGAGAGCAATTAGAGTCACATAACAATGTATGTATAAATTTTTGTGAAATGTAAACTTCATCTAAACTACAATAAAAAAATTAAATAATAATAATAAGGGTTTTTTTAATGCATTTAAAACAGTTACAAAAATGGCATTTCAAATTCCTCTAAGCTACTGATCACCATAGTAACCTTCCTTTCCCCATCTTCCAATCAGGCTGAGTGGAGAGGGCATTTCTCCAGTGAACATCTGTGAGTATGAAATCCTTCTTGGGTCATTTGGAGTGCATGTGTTTGAGGGATGGGGAGGTGGCGGGTACACGGGAGGGTGGGAAGCATGAGGCATTAGAGGGGATCCCACGGATAGGGTTCATTTTGAGAAGGTTTGAGGTTTTGAGTCCATTAAAAAAAGAGCTGTAGTAGGGGATCATCTTTCATGTCACAGGCCATGGGAGGTTTGAGGTAATTGCTCTGAATGGGCTTACAAGACCCGCGGGCCATGCCTGCCACCTCCCAGGATTCCACGCCTTTCTTGTTGGGGTTGTGAGTCCAGCTCAGAGAAGAGCTTTCAGTGTAGACAGGATTTATGAAATCTCCTGGCCTGCCTTCAGCCTTTGGAAGGAGCCTTCTGACTTGGCACAATGCACGGCCAACTAGGCAGCTGCTCCCCAGAGAAGTGTGGGGATAAGCCTCACTGCTTGACTTAACTCTAGAGTGTAACAGCAGAAAGTTGCCAAGGCAGCAAGAGTGCCATAAAACCAGGCAGTTGGTCAGCTACTCCAAAATAGGAGGGTCCTTGCAGAGCATTAACAAGTCAGTGCAGGCTGGTGCCAATAAGAGTGGAGCCATCACAGAGCTCAGTGCTCATTGTGAGGCCAACAGAAATCACTTATACAGCCTACACTTTATGCATGAGTTGGGTTTTCTTGATGGAGGATTCATAAAAGCAACTGATTAGTCAATGATTCTAGAAGGCAGAGCCCTCTGAATCACCCAGGTGTTCTCCTTCCCTGATGTCCTTGTCTAGTGGCTCCAGAGACCCTCAAAGCTAATTTTGGGACTGGACAAAATAACCTCTGAGGCTTCCTTTCTATTAAAAACACCTAAGAGTCTATTTTTTACTTCAGTTTTCCTTCTGCTGAGCACAAAGTAAGGTACTAGAACATTTAAGGAGATGAATGGTTGTAAGTTAAGAAAAGAACAGGTTGAGAGGGACAAAAAGAGTTGACTGGCCAATGGGTTCATCTACCAGTTGGTCTATCAAAAATATTCAGGGATTCAGAGTGTTAGAGTGTGGAGGCCGGGAGACACCAAGGCCGGAGCACAGATGCCCCTCTAGGAGCTCCAAAATGAAGGCAGACACAGAGCTAGGCCCAGAGAGGGAGGTAGAGATGGACAAAAGAGCAAGGGAAAGTGAAACGGGATCAAAGGGGAAGGCAGGTGGACTGGAACAGCTTCTAGGAGGAGAAAAGTCTCCATCATGGTCTGGAAGGAGAAGAGAGACACGGAGTAGCAGAAGCCATTCCAGATTGGGAAAAATGTCCAGTGCTAAAGCTCGGGAAAAAACAAGCTGAGACATAAGACAGTGACCTCACTAAGAAGGAGGGGAAAATTGGAAAGAGATACACAGCAACCTGATGAGACTACCTCCCATTCCAAGGACTTCGGGGCACAGACCCTGACACCCCCTGGTGTCTTCTCTCCTGCCCTTGATTCTGACTTGTCTCCTCTCTTCTGGCAGCTGTGGTCACCAACACTGTTTCCAGTGGCTATGGCAGTGGCAGCAGCACTGGAGGTGGAAGCCTGGGTCTCGGTGGGACAGTGGCTACTCCTTCACCACCAGTGGCAGGCTCAGCCTGGGTGCAGGGCTCGGGGGATCTGGCTTCAGTGCCAGCAGCAGCCGGGGCCTAGGGGGCAGTGGCTCAAGCGTCAAGTTTGTCTCCACCATGTCCTCCAGCAGGAAAAGCTACAAGCACTAAGTGTAGCCATCCCACTGCCTCACCATGCCCTAGACACCTGGGTCCTTTTCCTTCTTCTTTTCTCCATGGGCCCCTCTGTGCTGCTGGGAGACCTGGAGTTCTGGCTAAACCCCATTCCCTGTCCTCTGCCCTCCTGAGAGTCTACAGACCACTCGTGGTCCCCCTCTCTGTTCTAGACACATAAAGCCAAAGCCCACTCCCTTTCAAGATTCACATCAGCTTATCTTGCAGAGCCCTAGGCAGTCTTGCAACACCCCCTTCAGTTCTACCCGGATGTGGAGATGGGGGGGACTCTGCCTCTGAGGCCATCTGAATGCCACGCTGTTGGCCAGCCTGTCTCACGGTGCTTATAAGCTGCCTGCTAGGAGAGGGTGCTTCCTCTATCCCCTCCCTGGAACGTGTCTTTTAAAATGCATGTGTAAAGTGTTTGGTCTCCAGCCCTGTTTGGAATGGCGTGGAACACTGAGTGATTCTCCTCCTCCTGGCCTCCTCCCAGTACAGGGAGTCACACAAGGAGAGCTCAAAACACATCAGAACTTTTCCCTTCCTTCCCCTTCCTCAGAGCCAAGAAGGCTGGATTGGGTAGAGGGGAGCAACCAGGATGCAGAAGTATGGGGAGGGCAGCTGACCAGCCAGACAACTTCCCCACGCCTCTGCCCACTTCTTTCTACCTCTCCTTGGGATGCCTTGTTTGGGAAGCCCAAGCCCCTGGGCAGAAGCTCTGGCCAGGCTCCCTGCTCCGTATGTCATGCAGGGCGATGCCGTCCCTTCCCAAAACCAGACTGTTTCGGGGATACTGACACAGGGTGGGCAGCCCAGCCCTCAGCAAGCAAAGGGGCTGATTGTTCCCTGACAGCTTCAAACTTGCAGACCAGAGCAGAGAAATAAAGGCCACTGTGCAGACTTAAAAGTCAGCCCTGGGGGAGACGCTTTCACAGAGCAAGGAGCCATTTAGGCCCATGATTGCAGGCAGCAGTGAGACATCCAGGAAGCTCCCACATTCCTGAATTTACAAGTCTCCTGGACCCTTCTCATCAGGCCTGAGCCCAGGACAGAGCTGAGGGGACCCCCAGAGTAGAGAAGCCATCTTATGGGCTTGGGGGCAGGGGGGCGGGAGGGTGCTTTAAATGATCAGGACCAAGCTCAGGACTGCAGGGAGCTATAAGCCAGAGGTCTGAAAAACAATCTTCCAGGGTGAAAGAGCAGGGAGTTAAAGTGACAAGGAAGACAGAAGTCATGAATCAGGAAGAGAAGGGAGAGTGTGAAACCAAAGGGCTAGAATTTGGAATCATTGGGAGGGCGAAGACAGCAGGAAGGAGAGAAATGACAGTGAGGACAACTGTGAAACGCCCCCAGCCCCCTCAGGGAGAGCAAGTTAAGACCCGGGAGAGAGGCAAGAGTTGTGGAGGGGACAAGAATTTGGAGGTCCAAATCTGAGTCCTGACTCTGCTTCTTACCTTGGACAAGTCACCTCTCCCTTCAGAGCCTGATTTCCCCATCTGTGAATAGCGCTGTGATTCAGAGCATATGACTTAGAGTGTGACCACCTGTATTCTAATGTTCACTCCAACATTCACTGGCCAAGTCTGTTAATACTCCGCGCCATAATTTCTTCAAGAATAAAACAAGAGTAATAATAACTACCCATGGTGTTAGGTAAAGATTAAAGAAGAAGATTGGTGTAAAGCAGCTACCCATAAAGGTTTCTATTGTTAGTTGCTGTCGAGTCAATTCCGACTCATAGCAACCCCATGTGTTACAGATGGGTTTTCTTGACTGTAATCTTAATGAAAGCAGATTGCCAGGTCTTTCCTTCTGTAGTACTGCTGGTGGGTTTGAACCATCAACCTTTAGGTTAGCAGTCGAACACAAACCATTTGCAACACCTGGGGACCTTGAAAGCAGATACCCATAATAGATGCTCAATAAATGTTGGCAATTATTATTCCTATCATCCACCTTCACAAGGTTATTATGAGAATTGAATGAAATAATGCTTTGTGAGTTACCTGGTACACGGTCTGGCACATACTGAATCCTCAATAAGTGGAATTTTTATTATCATTATTATTAGTGACCAGAATGGGAAGGGCATGGTTAAGTGTTTGGGTTTAGAGTCCAAGACCTAGGACTGAAGAAGGAGGAGCAAATGAGAGATGTCAGCGGCATGTGGCCAAGAACTGGGTTTGTAGAGGGTGAGGGGACATTCAGAAAACCAGGTCTTCTCCAGGCCTGGGTCCTGCCCTGGTACAGTGTTCTCCATGGTGATTAGCGGGGCAGGAAGATGGGCCATGGCCAGACATTGAGATGAATTCAACAGAGTGGTCTTTGATCTTCTCCAGCCAAGCCCAGATCTTGAAAGGGATAAAAGTCAAAGAGGGTTTGGGAGAGCTAGACTTTGAAGGATCCTTGTTCCTTTGACATTCTTGCTCCTCTGACCCTGTGGCTCCCACATGACCCAATGATCCTCTGTTACCATCAAGTCAGGGGACACCTGGAACTTCAGCACTTCCTCAGCCAGCCTCCTCCCAGGCTGCCAGACCAGCTTCAGCTCTGTTGCCATGTCCCAAGGCAGGAAGAGCTTTGGGGGCGGCTTCGGTGGCAGCTTCGGGACTAGGAGCCTCCACAGCCTTGGGGGTAGCAAGAGAATCTCCATCAGTGGGGATTACTGCTCGAGCCGGGCCAGCTATGGGGGTGCTGGCTATGGGCTGGGTCTTGGGGGCATCAGGTACAGATCAGGGGGAGCCTGCAGTGGGTATGGATTTGGAGGTGGGATGATGTCTGGAGCTGAGGGCATCCATGAGGTCACCGCCAACCAGAGTCTCCTGACACCCCTCAACTTGGAGTTCAATCCCTCTCTCCAAAAGGTGCGGAAGGAAGAGAAGGAGCAGATCAAGACTCTCAACAACAAGTTCACTTCCTTCATTGACAAGGTAAGATCGTGGGAGCTGGGCAGCCTGCTAATGAAGTGGAGGGGAAGTGGTTTCCTACCTTGTTGAGCAGAAAAACGTCCATCCCCAGGCTCAAGAGCTGTCTGACCTACCACAAGAACACCGCTTTTTTGATGGATAGTGATCATATATTTGGCTTAAAATTAGATGGCAGAAGTGGATGAGTTTGGAGGGAGGGGAATGAAGTAAGGGAAAAGTTACAAGTTCAATTCATGGATGTGGGCTGGGGTCACTTTTTCTTGCCCTGTGTAATAGGGGCTGATTTCCTCCCAAGGCATAGGCATCTTCCCAGTGATTTGGACATGTCTGGGAGCTGAGTGGTTGGCAAGGGGTGCATGCAAAGCATTTTTCATTCTTCTTGCTGTGAGAGGAGAGTGTGACTTCAGCCCTAAGTTCCTCTCTGGTGTGTGGCCTGGAATCCTAGGGATTTCCCCAGCTCTGGGAGAGACCCCTCCATGAAACATTCTATTTTGCACTACCACCATCACATACCTGAGCTGACTGTTTTTGCCTGGGAAGAAGAAATTCAAGGATCTGGATAATTCAGGCTCCATACCTGGGATTTTGAGAGAGTGGTAAACTAAGAGGCAACCAGCTCAACTGCTGGGAGAGTCACCCAACTTTTCAGGCCTCAGTTGTGTTAGACAGATGGACTCTAAGTTCCCTTGGCCAGTCTAACAGGCTACAAAATTCCACACCATATGGACCCAAATCATTGAATGTGCAGACTTAACCAAAGGGACTGCTGAGGTAGTGGTTCTTAAACTTTATTGTCCCTTGTCACCCCAACAGAGGTGAGATTCCTGGGAGCCTGGTTGTGAAGGGACTAATGTGGCCCTGCTTTTCCTTGGTTCATACAGAGGGGATGTGGGATTGAGGGGATATGTGTAGGGGGAACTTGGAGCCAGAGTTTCCATCTTTCCTCTGATAACCAGAGACCTGTGGGAAGGTGTTCATTTGTTAAAGACCCTTCATAGGCATGCTGCCATCTCCATTTCCAACATGAGGCTCTGCTCCTACCTTCTCTGAGACTGGGTATCATTCCACCTATTCCCAGTGCAAGGACTTTTTTTGAGGGAAAGTTTATGCATATTCCCCAAGGCTGCTTCCCTGGCTGAGGAGCAGATGGGTGTAACTCAAAAAAACCAAATTAGCAGCACAGGACAGAAAGGACTTGAAAGAGCAGAGAAAGGAAGGGGCTTGCCCAAGGCCACACAGCTAGTGACGGACATGGCTGGGATTGTGCCAGGTCCTCTGAATGAAACTCCAAAGTGACCCATTCTAGCATTCCTGGAATGTGGGGACAACTGAGTCCAGATTCTAGAACTGGACTAAGCACACACAGCATGCGTGAGAAACCATGTCAGAAAGAAATAAGCAGATTGGACTTTCTACCAAGAACCTCTGGACCACTTGATGAGATTAAAAACCTCATCCAGTAATATAATGGTGAGGTATTCTTGTCTTAAGCCACCATGTCTCAGCATGGTTTGGTGCTTTCGGATGATTTCCAGACCCTCTGGCCTTTTCTGCTTGTTTCTCTTCTAAACCTAGCCATGGCATGTCTCCCAAGCCTATTGCACCAACATTTGCTTGGTTCTCTGCATTCCAGGCTCCTTCCAGGTTGAGGAAGAGGAGGAGCCTGCTACCTGAGCTCTGAGGTCTTGAGGAGATCCCTGCACTGATGGAAGTCCTATATACCAGAGCCCTCTGGGAGGCTGTTACATGGAAGCCCTCACATTTTCTTATCTCTGATTGGTACAGGTGTGGTGCTTACAGCAGCAGAACAAAGTCCTGGAGACCAAATGGAGCCTCCTACAAGACCAGAAAACCACCAAGATCAACACTGAGCCCATGTTTGAAGCCTACATCAACAACCTGAGACATCAGCCGGAAGGCCTAGGCGGGGAGCGGGCGAGGCTGGAGACAGAGCTGAAGAGCGTGCAGGATGTGGTGGAAGACTTCAAGAACAAGTAAGTGGATGCTCAGCCAGTTCCTGAGCCAGAGCCCTGCCCTGGGGCTCCTGGGGAGGCTAGAGGGAGCAGGAGAAGCAGGCTCTGCTCTCCAGAAGTGCCCACACATAGGGCATGTACGTGGAATCCGAAATAGTCAAAGCAGAAAGAGAACAAGACTCTGGGGTCAAGCATGTGGAGGCTTTGGGAGGGGCTGAGGTTATAGATGTTAATCACATGGGTACAAAGAGCTTAATGCACACAACTGTCCTTCAAACTCTGCAGATGAGTAAAGGAAGGCTCTCAGATAGAACTGACTTATCCAAGTTTACACAAACAGCAACTCATGAGTTAAGAATTAAACCATAGACTCTTACTCTCACATTTGTTCAACCAAATCCCATCGCTAGCTCACACAGTTATGCATTCACCCCAATCCTGGCCAAGGGGCAGGGGGATCAAAGAAGGAAGAGACATTTGCTGCCTTCTCCCAGGAACACACACACACACGCACCATTAAACATAACGGTATGTTCATGCCTATAAACCAAAAACCAAACCCACTGCCGTCAAATTGACTCTGACTCATAGCGACCCTACAGGACAGAGTAGAACTGCCCCATAGAGTTTCCAAGAAGCAGTTTGTGGATTCGAACTGCCAACCTTTTGGTTAGCAGCCGAGCTGTTAACCACTGCACCACCAGGGCTTCGCTCATGCCTATAGATATGAGTAATTTATTTTTATCTTCAATTTTCTTGGTCCAAATAAAACAAGTAACTCAATGATAAGCTTTAGTTATTGTTTGTAGATGATAATAAGATCAGATTTTATAGGTGAACTATCCAACATGGTAACCACATGTAGCTATTGAAATTTAAATTAATTAGAATCAAATAAAAAATCCAGCTCCTCAGTCACAATAGCCACATTTCAAGTGCTCAGTCGCCACATGTGGCTGGTGGGTTTTGTATTGGACAGCACAGATATGGAGCATTTTCGTCATCACAGAAAGTATGGACAGTGCTATAGACTCTAGAGCAGTGGCTTTAGAATCTTAGTTCAACCAATTACTAGCTGAATGACCCCAAGAAAACTATTTCACCTCTAAGCCCCAGTTCCTTTATCTGTTAAAAGGGGCTATTAATAGTACTTACCTCACAGAGGTGTTGTAAGTATTACATAAAAACTTGCACATAAAGCACCTGGCATATAAAGTTCTTAAAAAGTGTTAGCTACTTTTATTGTACTTGTGATTAGCTATATGTGTGTAGTGATACAGAAAACAGAAGCAAATTCAGGTGGATAATTTATAATATATATCTAAACATGGAGTAAGAGTGTTTTAGATCCAAGAAGACTTCCTGGAGCAGGAGACCAAAGCTCCAGATTGAGAAGGAAGGAGGGACAGAGGAAGGATATGGAGGCGTCTCAGCTGAAGAGTATCCCCCTGGTTAATGGACAAGTGATGTTCCAGTGACAGGTGTCAAAGAGGCCTCACAGAGGAACTGTGAGCTGGGGAACACAGATAAGGACAGTTGTATGGAGCTAGGTGAAGAAAAGATGTTCAGATTTCATTAAAAAGGCAGCTCAAGGAAATAATAAAGAAAAGGAATTCAATTTTCCCAGAGAACATGGGAGCAGGTGCAGTACTGGAGATTCAATGGCAGGAAAGAGATTTTCTCAGATGCTACTGGACGATAGAAGCAATATGAAAGCAGGGGAGATTCTGGTGACATACGTAATGTATGATAGTACCTCATGATTTTAAAAGAAGATCTAAATGCCATCTCATAGATGGGAGATGGCCTCAGAGAGGTTAAGCAACCTGCCCAAAGTTGCTCAGCTGATAGGTGAAGGATCCAAGGCTCAAACCACAGCAAACCAGCAAGGCTAAGCCAGTTGCTGTTGAGCTGACTACAATTCATGGCCACCCCATGTGTGTCAGATAGAACTTGCTCCATAGAGTTTTCAATGGCTGGTTATTTGGAAGTAGATTGCCAGGCCTTTCTTCTGAGACACCTCTGGGTGAATTTGAACCTCTAACCTTTTGTTCTGGCAGCCAAGCATGTTAACCATTTGCACCATCCAGGGACTCCTCTAGAAACACTGACAGGGTGGGATTCATTGATGCTTAGGAGGATTGGGTGGGGAATGGGTCACCTGCAACAGAAGTAAAACTTTCTACCCAGAGATGAATGAGCAGGGGGGCAGCTCCACGTGCCCCTGCAGGGCAGGAGGGGAGTGGGGTTGCCACCTGGGGGCAAATTGAAGAATAAGAAAACTTTGTTTGAGTGGCTCTTATCAGCCTGAAGACTACTACTTCTTAGGCCACATCCAGAGGGGCTGAGAACAAAACTTGAGAGCCTCATGGGGAGCAGGAGCCAGGCCAGAATCCAGAAGCCATCCCCATCACTGCCTGTTTGAGTAGAGACAAAATTATGGAAAAAATGACTAAAGATGTGAGAAAAGAAACTGCAGAAAGAACAAGGGGTGGTTCCGTTTGATTGCTGTTGTTTGGATTTTTGTTTTGTTTTGAGAGGGGTGGTTGTTGTATTTGGAATTTGGGGAGCATATTAGTAATAGGATTGCTGTGCTATATTACAGCATTTTCCAGATCTGCTCTGGAGATGCCTGTTGCCTGCCCATCTACAACCCTCTCTGTCCTAACTTCACTCCCAGAACACCGCCCCCAATGCCAACTGACTCTTGATTTTGCCCACAGGTACGAAGAAGAAATCAATAGACGCACAGTGATGGAGAATGAGTTTGTGGTTCTCAAGAAGGTGAGGAGAGAGGTACACTCCCCTGACTCCCAGATCCAAGCAGCCCGTTAAGTAGTAATATCTGCCACTATGCCAGTGGCCTTACATACAAGGCCTTATTAATTTGTTCAACAGATGTTGGAAGCTGGTTTTACTTTAAAAGTGAGAAAACTGAAGCTCAGGAAGGTTAAGTTGCCAAAGGTTACCAGGTAATCAGAAGTGAGCCAGGATCCGAGAATGCAAAGTCCTTTGGAAATCATCATACCAACTCCCAACTCCCACGAAGTCCTGGGTAGAGAGAGGGGGAGAGAAACGAGCTTTGTCCTGAGCTGAGTCTTCATCGAGTTAGGCTCAGGAGGACAGAATCAACACCAGCGTTCTGGACCTGCCTGCTTAGTGGGAACAGGAAGAAGGAGCTAAGCTGGAGGAGAATGGAGCCATAGAGTGTTAAGGGGACGACGAGGTAGAGAGCAGGAGGAGGAGGAAAAGCAAACACAGGCTTCAGGGAGAAGCTGGGAAAGCCCAGAGGCAGTGAAGGCCCAAGGGCCCAGGGCAGGGGTCTGTCTCGCTGTGCAGAGGTGACATAGGAGATCTTCACCCAAGGCACCAGCTCATGAGCGGGGAGGACATTCCCTGAGAGCCCTGCTCTTCACACAGTTTGGACCCCCGCCCCCAACCTCCACTCAATAGCCTGGAATAAAGAATTCCCCTCATCCCCATGAGTGAAAGTTCTCCCACCTGACTCACCACCTGCGGGGGCTGATGAAGAAGGGTGGGACTCAGGGTAACAGTGTGTTCTGTGCCCCAGGATGTGGATGCCTCCTACATGAGCAAGGTGGAGCTGGAGGCCAAAGCAGATGCCCTGACCGACGAGATCAACTTCCTGCGGGCCTTCTACGAGGTGGTGAGGAGTGCCCAGACTTGCCCTCAGGAGGGCCGGTGACTGGTGTGCCTCAGATGGACACAGAGGCCGCTGGATCCTTCCCTGGTCTCTCTGCTCCTCACCCCAGTCTTGGGTTAGAATTCATGGGGCAGATGTTGCTTCCTCTACCAAGGGAGACAATGAGGTTCCCTGGGGCAGGGGAGAAATTCAGCCTTGGACCAAGCATGTTCTGTTGTCAGACAAAAGAACAGCTTCCTGTCATTGAAATACACTGATTTCCAAAGGACCATCTGAGCAACCTGGTCCCCCTGGCCCACACCAGATTTACCTGCTGTTCTTCCTAGAACAGCTGCAGCAGGATGCAATTACACAAATTCAGTGGCAATTAGTGAGCCTTTGGGTGCTTCTAGAAGCACACAACACAGTTGCCTGGTTCTGGGCCGGATGCAAAATTTTGCATTTCTAGCAAGTTCCCAAGTGTTGCTGATGTAGCTGGTCCAAGGATCACATTTTGAGAACCACTGCTTTAGATGATTCTGAAAAGCGATTATTAACAAATTAATTATCGGCTTACTGTTTCAAAAATAATGTTATACAGACATTAATTTATTTAATCCTCACAAAGATCCTAAGAGGCCAGAATTGTGATTATGCCCTCTGAGACTCACAGATGTTATATAACTTGCCTGGCGGACTCAAGACTTGAATTTTTCAGCCTAGTGCCCTTTCTCCGTTTTGAGCTAATTTTCATTTCCCATCCCCAAGAAGCAGGTGCCAAGTTGGGAAATAGTACTGGGAAGAGGCAGAGCTCTCGGGCTCCTTCTAACTCAGTTGTCTTTTCACAAGATGATTTCCTTATTTGGTGTGCAGAGCTATGGATTCTCAGAACATGAGACATCGTAGTACTGACAGGTCATGACAAAGTGCATTCCTTTGGCAAGAGGAAGGACTTCTGGACAATCCTGGCTAGCATTACGTGTGCTGCTGCTCCATCTGAGGAGATGAGCCGATGATAAAGGACAGGCGTAATTTCAGTGACCACTCTAATGTCTTTTTTGACCCTTTCAGACCTAAGCAGGTTGTTCCAGCCCAAAAGTGCAAGTGAGGCCCTCGATGCTGAGATTTGTTCCTGAGGTCAGGTCACAGTATCCCAACACACACACACACACACACACACACACACACACACACACACACACACACCACACCCTGCTCAGCTCTCCTATTTGTGCGTATTACAGGAGTTGGCTCAGCTTCAAACCCAGATCTCCGAGACCTCTGTGGTGCTGTCCATGGACAACAACCACTGCCTGGACCTGGACAGCATCATCTCTGAGGTCAAGGCCCAGTATGAGGACATCGCCAACCACAGCCGGGCCAGGGCTGAGTCCTGGTACCAGACCAAGGTGGGTGTCGAGTCAAGTCATCGCAGCAAGCCCAGAGCACTAAGCCGAAGCAAGACCACAGGTACAAAGGCCCTCAGTCTGGTGGGGTTGAAGGGATGTGAGCTGAGGTTGGATCTTACCCTCTGTTCTGAGCATGGCCTCGATGCAGCACTGTCAGAACATGGAGGAATAGCCAGAGGAAGGTGGGAGGTGGTCAGGCCCTCTGCCAAAAGGAGAAGGCCACACCTCCAATACCTATAGCAGAGAGACTAGGGGCAGCTGGACAGTAGTGGCCATCAGTACCAGCAGGGAGGGACAGAGGGGGAATAGGAAAAGGTTTAGCTTCCTGGAAGAGGCTAGAGGATCCAGAGAAGAGAGATGGAGCTGGGGGGCTTCCCAGGTGACCAGAAAACATGGGCAAAAGGCTTGGCATAGGTCAAAGAATGAGCTTTTCCAGGATAGAGCAAACACTCCGAGCTGGGAAGTCACTGGGGATGGAGAGAGGTGGTGCCAAGAAAAATAAATACAAAGAAGCTTAAAGGTCAGAGAGTGACGGGCAGTGGAGACCCCGCATGATGCTGAGTTTGTGAGGGTGAGATGCGTGCGTCAAAGGAGAGAGGAAGCACACAGCCACAGCTGTGGACATGGAGAGTGAGGGTCAGAGACAAGAGACAGGGCAGAGGACAGCCCCTCAGACCCCAGCATGGATTTTTTTTTGGGGGGTGGGCAGGGGGCAAGGGGAGTAGTTTCCAATCACACTTTAAAAGCATGTTGGAATGTGGTTTGCTGCTGCTGAGTTTCAGGGCAGGAGATGGAGATAGCATAATTGTTCTCCAAAATATGATGTGGAATTTTTTAAATCTCCTGGGAAGGAGGGAGCAGAAGAGAGAGAAAAGACATAAGATACATGAGCAACAAAATGCAGAGGCCCAGGAACTTTTCAGGAATGAGGTGAAGATTATTCTGCTTTAATTTGTATGAGTTGCTGTGATAGAAACTTTCCATCATCTCCCCCAAACCTTCAAGCAAAGTTGGCTTCATATCCAAAACAAAAACACACAAAAAAGAGGCCTATTGGGCCCCAGGAAGTCCCAGCCTTCTCTTCCCTGGCCTTGACCATCCCCGCTACCTTCAAGCACCCCTCACACAAGGCCTGCTTCTCCCCCCAGTACGAAGAGCTGCAGCAGTCTGCCGGCCGGCACGGCGACGACCTCCACACCACCAAGATGGAGATCTCTGAGCTGAACCATGTAATCCAGAAGCTGTGCTCCGACATTGATAACCTGAAGAAGCAGGTAGGGCTGAGCTCACAGGGGTCGACCTGGCCATGCCCCTGCCTCCACACAGACTGTACCTGGCCCTAACCTGCCCAGGCAGAGAGAAGCCACCCCAATGAGTGACCTCTCTGGATTATAACTGTGCTGTCCCCTCGCCAGCCAGGGATGCCAGAGGTCAATCTAACATCAGTGCCTCTAGGAAAGGTTCTGGCCTCTGGAGGCATAGGCGGCAAAACCTTGGCTTAGTTCATTTACCCACTATCCACAGAAGTTCAGCAATGATAAAACCAAAAACCAAACCCCTTGCTGTCGAGTCGATTCTGACTCATACCAACCCTAGAGGACAGACTAGAACTGCCCCACAGGGTTTCCAAGGAGCAGCCGGTGTATTCAAACTGCCGACTCTTTGGTTAGCAGCCATAGCTCTTAACCACTGCACCACCAGGGCTTCAGCAATAATAAGGGCCTCGAAAAAAACATATTCTCCATCCTGGTTATGTATTAAGCTGTCCAAGGTAGACAGTAATCAAGCTTAGTTTTAAAGATGATGATGCCTCAAACCTCTGCTGCATTAAATCCATTTCAGGAGATTCCTCCAGGGGTGTGCCTAAAGCCCACAGCACACTGCATCCTCTGTGAATGATTTCACACACTCCTATCTCCTCTTGGCAGTGTGCTTCGCTCCAGGCCGCCATTGCTGATGTTGAGCAGTGCGGGGAGCTGGCCCTCAAGGATGCCAAGCACAAGCTGGCCGAGCTGGAGGACGCCCTGCAGAAGGCCAAGCAGGACATGGCAAGGATGGTGCGTGAGTACCAGGAGCTCATCAACGTCAAGCTGGCCCTGGACATCGAGATCGCCACCTACCGCAAGCTGCTGGAGGGCGAGGAGTGCAGGTGGGTTACCTCTCCTCCTTCCTCTGGCTCCAACAGAGGCCACCAGAGCACCACTATGGCAGTGCCCCAGAAGCCACATGGGCCTCATGATGTCAGGCCACTGGATAGAAATCCCAAAGACTGAGTTCAAATGCAGCCATTCCCACAGAAGTGGCATTCAGTTGCAGCCCCTCCTGCACTACTGTTGAACTCAGGGTAGGGGGCCAGGGTCCAAGCTTTAAGGCAGTGGTGCCCCTGGCTATCTGGAAGGCCATAACCAGGGCCATTTCTGCCCAGCCCTGCAACAAATGACCCCACACTCAGGATGAGCCCCAGGGGCTCTGTGTTTCCCCGGAGATGCTCTATAAACCAACTGGCTCACTCTACCTGTCTCGTATGGGCCCCTTGGCCCATTTCTCTCTATATTTTTAACTCGATCTCTTCTAGGTTTTCTGCCACATATTCGCATTAGCTTCCTAAAGCTATGAGGTGAAAGAAAAGCTTGTTAACCACTTAGCATATTTCCTGGCATCCAGTAAGCACTTTGGACTGATTATGGTTTCGATACAAAGAACTCAGGGCTCTTTACCTTCTCTACAATGAAATGTCTCTTTCTCTCCCCACCTGCAACAGACTCACTGGAGAAGGTGTCGGATCTGTGAATATCTGTGAGTAAATGTCTTGGAATGATAGAAAAGGGGGAGACAATGGCATAATGGCATAACCAACTAGGATTTGCTGGCTAGAGAATGATCAAGTTGTAGCATGGATGTCAGTAAGGCCCTCTTACAGGCTGTACAACCAGTTGCTGTCGAGTCAGTTCCGACTCATGGCGACCCCATGTGTGTCAGAGTACAACTGTGCTCCATAGGTTTTCAGTGACTGATTTTTGGAAGTAGATTGCCAGCCTTTCTTCTGGGGTGCCTCTGGGTGGACTCGAACCAATCTTTTGGTTAGCAGCTGAGCACACAATGGTCAGTTTTTACCTTCCAGGAGGGAGACCTAGGTTCAATTCCGGGCCAATGCACCTCATGCTCAGCTTCAACCCATCCATCAAGGGAGACACGCGTGTTGCTATGATGCTGAACAGGTTTCAGCAGGGCTCCCAAACTAAGACAGACTAGGAAGGCCTGGTGATCTCCCTCTGAATATCAGCCAGTGAAAACCCTATGGATCACAGCAGTCTAGTCCACAACCGATCATCGGGATAGTACAGGACCAGGCAGCATTTTGTTCCACTGGGCACGGGGTTGCTATGAGTCAGGGGTCAATTCTAAGGCAGCTAACAACAACTCAAGACTCTGTGGAGACTCCCCCTCTTCTTTGGCCCCTCCTCCCAGTGAGCCCAAGAGAACCTCTCAGAAGTGGGACATTCTACGTCACTAAAGGAGAAGTTAGAGTAGAGCTCAGTGACTTTTCTCCTCACTCTGGGATAATCTCCCCAGAGACTGCATATGACCCCCTCACCCCCAGGGGTGGTCCCAGTGGGGTCACATGTCTACAGGGATGTGACTCCACACCAGAACCTGGCACCAGAGGATCACAGTTACAGGACAATACTTCTCACAGAGCAGTAGGTCTCCAGTATAAATGCCTGATTTCTCAGCAGAGTTCTGGCAGGAACTCAAACTAACACAACTAACAAGAGTCTACTAAACAGGTTAAATAGAAAGACCTACATTTAGATTTTAAACAATTTAATTGAGCAAGGCCTCAACTCACGGGAAGGAGTCCCGGAGGAATAATCTCACAGAATGATCTACCAGGACTAAGTGGGGGTAGGGGGGAGGGCTGTTAAAAAACTCAACCCTTAGGTGGCGTTAATAGGAGCATGGAAAGTAAAATCCCTGTGTGCCCCACATGGATCAGGCCATATCAGGGTAGCTAACAAACCAGGGTGGTGAAAGAGCTTGAAACCAGCTAATAAAAGGAACAGGAATGTTCCCCTGAGAGGGGGGCCAGAAAGACGTCTTCAAATGTTTGACAGGCTGTGGAGAGCCACACCCTGAGGTTGACGAGCTCCCTGTTGCTGAAAGTATTGGAGCAGAAGAGAAGCAAGTGCCTCTCAGTGATATACTAGAGGAATTCCAATATTAGGGGAGAGGTTCATCTAGATGGCAGTAGGGCTTCTTCCAAGATGGGAGCCTACAATTCTATAACAACCATAGATAAAGAGTGAACACAGCATAGGAGCCTAAAGACATGCCACTCTAATCTCTTTGCCCCTCCATTCCCCCTATAAAACGGGGGTCCTCGTAGTTTGGCGTCCTCTTGGGCCTATTGTAGAGGTCAGTGTGGTCACAGCTGTGAAAGAGGTTTAAAAGTTGAGATGCCCTGTACAAATGCACATACTAAGGCAGTGTGTGACAGGATGGTGAGTCCAGGCCCCTTTCTCTGACTCTGTGGCTCTCAGGGTCCTGAGAAGATTCCTGGTCCCTGACGACCTGAAGGAAGAGACGGTTGGCTTAGAGCAAGACACCATGGTAGGGGAACAGGCATGGCAATAAAGGGCATTTACCTGGGGAGGTGCATCTTGGGAAACCTGGGAGAGCGTGCCAGTGTGCCCTGTGACTTCTCTCCACAGCCGTGGTCTCTTCCTCCGGGGGCACAGGCTACAGTGGGGGCGGAGGCCTCTGTGTGGGCGGAAGCGGCTACAGTAGTGGCCTCTCCTATGGCGGTGGGAGTAGCGGCTTCAGCTCCACCAGCAGCCACAGCATTGGCGGCAGCAGCTCCAGCATGCACATCATCTCCAAGACCTCATCCACCAAGAAGAGTTACAGGAGCTAAAGCACCCCACCTGCCTCGGCTGCCTGTCCATAAAGCCCCCAAGCTTTCCGGCCCTTAGACTTGATGCTCTGCTGACACTACATTCACAAAACCAACAGCAGGAGGTACGAGCGGCAGGGAAGTGACCTGTGAGTTCTAAGGTCACCACGTCCATCCCCCTGCCTCCAGACAGGTCCCCACAGAAATATCTCACTCACTCGAAGTCTCAGAGCCCCCAGGGTCCAAAGGCATTTGTTCCAACTAGCACTGACCCAACTGCTTTGTGCTGGGCTAGGATCTGAGAGGACTCAGAGTTGAGGACAGCCTTTGCCCTTAAGAAGGTTCCAGAGTAGAAGTGTAGTTGGCCTTCTTCCTCCTGTCTAACCTAAATCTGCTGCAACCACAAGATGGTTTCTCTTGTTAAGTACTTCATGGAGGTGCTTCTAATTGACCTTGGTGCCCCAAAGTACTTTAGTGCAGTCTAGATCAGTTTTCATGTGTGTCGTTTCTAATGGCAGACAGGAAATGTCCTTGTAAACTGGGTTACGTGGATTGCCTCCTCTCCTCCTGCTTTCCTGACCCATCCCAGGTGCCCAGCCACCTCCCTTGACGGCTCCCACAAGCAGAATTTTTGAATAGAAATCAACAGCCTTTAAGGTATTGTCAACTCTTGATTATTCACACTAGGATGGAATAATTTTATCAAGAATCCAAAAGTTCTCCATGGCTTGGGACAGTAGTATACGTTATTTCATAGCCAAATTCCTTACAAATCTGCTTCATTTAAGGCAGTATTAAAATTGCTATCCCTAAACAGAAATGTCGTGATGATGAGGTGGGAGGAGATCAGCTCATGGGAGGGTAGGGGAAAGGCAGCTCAGCACAAAACGCCTGCAATAGATGCTCCAGAAAAAGGACTCCAATAAGCCTGTATTAGGAATTGCCTTGTGAGATTCCTCCCGCAAAATAAATCTTCCAGGCTCAGGACTTTTCTTCTTTGCTTTGTGCTAGCCATGTCTCTCCATTAGAAAGTTGTCTTTCCTTGCCCTCGCCACCTCTACCCTACCACCCTCTTGTGTCTCTTCTCTTTCAACACCCCTCCTTTCCTCACCTCTCCTTTACTTCTTTCTTTTTTTCCTCTCCCACTCTTTCTATCTGGCAATATAGTTCTTGCTGTCTTTCTTCTCTGACCTTCTTTTTCTATCTCCTGTCTCTGAAATGGCACTCTTCTGTGCTGATCTGCCTGTAGCCGGCTCTGGCTAGAGCTGAAGCTCTGTATGTCAGTACATCTAATGCCCTGCCCCACAGGGAAGTCCTAAGACAGCAAACTTGGAGGAGAGAGGTGGTTCTTCCTTTGATGTTCTTCCTTGCTCTGAGGGGACATGTTAAGAAGGCAGAGGTAGGATGGGGGTGGAAAGGGGGAGGGTAGGCACAGAGATCTTTGTCAGGCTGGCCTTCATGGTGTAGTTTCCCTATTTAGCCTGAGTACTTGTAAACCCTCAAAACACCTACCATTTATTCAAGACCAAAATGCACTCTGACAGCAAGTAGAAAATGCCCGCCACCCTGCTGCCATGAAGACTGGAGAGTCAACTATTTCAGAGAAAAAGTCATGCCCGCTTCAATCATTTCAGCCCCTTCTGAAGGGGCAGCCTGCTCTCTTGTGCTTGCCTGAAATGGCTTCAATAAAATGTCACTGAGCTCTCTAGGTGTTGACTGAGTCTGTGTCTTGTCTCACACTCTGAGAGCAGCCTTGAAGCTGATGGGTTCCAGGAAGAGGTACCTTACCCACATGGGGAATCCTATGAACCCCACTACCCTGTGCTTTCAAGCTCTGGCCCTGGGCTCCGAGGAGGCCAGCATGGTCCCTGAGACCCTCCTCTGGCCTGGATGTGGTAGAGGGTGCTCTACTGTATCCAGAGCTCTCCAGTGACAGTTCTTCCCACACAGTTCTTCCCACTGTTATACACATTCCCTCTGGTGGGAATGGCTCTGCTCTCTGGTCTGGCCTTTCAACATTACCATCACCTTTAACACTGTTTCCCGGGCCCACCTCTGTGGCACTTACTCCAGGGCAGCATGAGAACCCCTTTCCTGATATCATGCAACAGGACACCTCCCGCCCACAACTTCTGCATACCACCATCGCTGGTGGTCTCTTGTTACACCCCTCTCCTCCCCAAACCCTAATCTTCCCTCCTACTACTCTAGGACCCAAAGTCAAGACTATTAAACAGATCATTGTTGTTGTTAGCTGCCATCAGGTCAGCACCTGACTCACAGTGACCCCATGCACAACAGAACAAAACATTGCCCAGTCCCGTGCTAACTCCATGAGCAGTGGCAGGTCAGACTGTTGTGATCTATAGGGTTTTCATTGGCTGATTTTTTTTTTTTTTTTTTTACTTTAGATGAAGGTTTACAGGACAAATAGTTTCTCATTACACAGTTATTACGCATATTGTTTTATGATATTGGTTAACAAACCGACGACATGTCAGCACTGTCTCTTCTCAACTTTGGGTTCCCTATTACCAGCTTTCCTGTCCCCTCCTGCCTTCTAGTCCTTGTCCCTAGACTGTTGTGCTCCATTAGTCTCGTTTTGTTTTATGGGGCTGTCTAATCTTGGGCTGAAGGGTGAACCTCGGGAGTGACTTCACTACTGAGCTAAAACGGTATCTCTGGGGTTTCTCCAGTCTGTCAGGCCAGGAAGTCTGGTCTTTTTTTGTGAGTTAGAATTTTGTTCTACATTTTTCTCCAGCTCTGTCTGGGACCCTCTGTTGTGATCCCTGTCAGAGCAGTCAGTGGTGGTAGCCAGACACCATCTAGTTGTACTGGACTCAGTCTGGTGGAGGCCGTGGTAGTTGTGGTCCATTAGTCCTTTGGACTAATCTTTCCCTTGTATCTTGTTTTCTTCATTTTCCCTTGCTCCCGAAGGGGTGAGACCAGTGGAGTATCTTAGATGGCTGCTCACAAGCTTTTAAGACCCCAGACGCTACTCACCAAGCTAGAATGTAGAACATTTTCTTTATAAACTGTGTTATGCTAGATGTTCCCCGAAACCATGGTCCCCACAGCATTGGCTGATTTTTTGAAGTAGATCACCAGGCCTTTATTTCTAGTTCATCTTAGTCTGAAGCTCTGCTGAAACGTGTACAGCATTATAGCAACATACAACTGAGAATCCCAGAGGTACAAGGAACTTTTGAATTCCAGTCTCCTAATTTACAGGTGGGAAAGCTGAGGAACAGAGAAGTCATGATATGTACTGGCGGCCCATTCCTGATTCCTAAGCCAAGCTTCTCTCCCCCAGAGCAGCAGAGCACAGTGAAGTTAGAAAGAATAAGATTAAGTCCAGCTTTATCCCATATAAGTTGTGTGACTTTGGGAAGTTATGTAACCACTCTGCTCTTCAGTAATAGTAACTATATCATGGTGTTGTCACAAGAATTAAATGAGATAGTGGATGTAAAGTGCTGAGTGTGGTCCCAACACATAGAAAAAAAAAAAAAAAAACCCACTGCCATCGAGTCAATTCTGACTCATAGTGACCCTATAGGACAGAGTAGAACTGCCCCATACAGTTTCCAAGGAGCACCTGGTAGATTTGAACTGCCGACCTTTTGGTTAGCAGCTGTAGCACTTAACCACTATGCCGCAAGTATTCCCATAGTAAGTACCCAATAAATGTTGTTGTTGTTGTTATTCTTAGCTTGATTTTTGGACATGGAAAAAAAAATCACAATGTGGGAGGGAAAGACCAGTCTGCCACCACAGCAGTGGTTTCACTGATGGGATTGATGAGAAGGAGGAGGAAAGAGAAGTGGGGAAGGGACTTCAAGTACCTCCAAAAACCTGTGTCTGTGACTGGGTGCTAGGGAGAAAGCCTGTATCCCACATCCACCTGAAAAATTCTTGAAGGCATCAGCTGTCCTCAGAGATGCTCTCAGACCAGAGCAGGCTCTGTCTAGCTCAGGAAGGCTCAGGAAGGCCTGAGGAGAAAGGGAGAGGAATGGGACATGGAACCCCAGAGCTAATGGCTGAAGTCAATGCATGATTTGGAGGGGCCCAAAGAGCCTTGGGGAGGAAGAGCACACCTTCCTCTCCTCACCTCAAGCATGAGGCATCTTCTCTTGAGACCCTGCACTCCTTTTTTACTAAAAGGCCCCAGAGAGAAGAGTCAACACCTAGAGCCTGGCTACCCTGAGAAGCCCTGTTGGGAAAGGGGGTAGCTCAGCCAGAGACAGGACCCCACCTTCCTGAAGAGAGGCAAGGTCCAGCCTGATATAGGAAGGCTTCTCCCACCCCAAAAACTCTCCCTCCCTGGGAACTTCTAGGACCACCTAGGAGCCCATGGAGAGCCCTTGGGTCTGGAGCATCCTCAGAAAAACATAAAAGCAGCCTCGGGGAAATATAGCATCTTCAAGCCTATCTAATTTGCCCTCTAATCCTAGGATAGTCAAGGCATGTAATTCATGCTTCTCCAGCCTCCCCGCCTATGAAACAGCACAAAGTCCCAACTCTTCTTTTCCTTGAGGCTGAGCCACTGAATACATCAAACACATCTTTGTGGTTGACCCCTTTCATCACCCCCATAAACAAGGAAAAGGGACAAAAAGGCCAGCTCTGGCGATTGGCTCCTCCTCTTTGCTCTTTGCTCCCCTAATTAGCCACCTTGGCACTTAGCAACTGCCAATATTCCAAGCTTATGAACCTGATTTAATGGTGATTTGGGGTTTGACCCAGCTCAGCCCTCCATCCCCCTGCTAGATAAAAGGGGGAAAGCTGAGCTGTGACTTGATAATTCGTGCCTCCCATTCTCCCCTCCCGGGCTCCTACCTGTCTGTCTCTCTCTTCTGCCATGTCGTGCCACTCCATTCGGCCAGGCTACAGAAGTGGCAGTCGGCGCTTTAGCTCGTGCATGGCTGTCATCCCCCGGACAGTGACCCTCTGTGCAGTGAGCAAGGGACCCTGCCGGCCTGGGGGTGGTGCGGGCCTCCGAGCCCTGGCCTGCCTCAGCTCACGGAGCCTGTGCAACATGGGCTTCGGGAGGCCCCGGGTCGCCTACAGGTGCGGCTTGCCTGGCTTCGGGTACCAAGTGGGGGGCTCCTGTGGGCCTTCTCCCTGCATCACCGCCGTCACCATCAATGAGAACCTGCTGGTGACACTCGAGCTGGAGATTGATCCAACCGTACAAAGGGTGAAGAGGGATGAGAAGGAGCAGATCAAGTGCCTCAACAACCGCTTTGCATGCTTCATCAAGAAGGTAAGAGGCCGGGGCCCAAGTGGTTCAGGGCTGCAGGATGAGAACCACTGCAGGAAACATGATTGTCTGGTCCAGGGGGAGCAGGAAAACACTGACGATAGAGAAGTCACAGTTTATCCATTGGCTGGAAACCCTGGTGGTGTAGTGGTTAAAAGCTACTGCTGCTAACCAAAAGGTCAGCAGTTCAAATCCACCAGGTGCTGCTCGGAAACCCATTGGGGCAGTTCTACTCTGTCCTTTAAGGTCACTATGAGTTGGAATCAACTCGACGACAATGGGTTTAATGGCTCCTGTAGTCCACAACCACTGATTGTTGTGAGATGGTTAGATCAGGCTCAACATAAAACATGTTTGTGGCCTTGTCCTTTTTTTAAGCATGTCATCTTTCTCTGGATATTATCTGATAAAATCATCAAAGTTGTCTGAGGTTAGACTACAAGAGGAACTTCCAAAGCAAGGAAGGGAATTACCAAAGAGGCAGAGAATTGTCCTTCCTGAAGAGGCTTTAAAAATAGAGCCACATTCTGTCTGCCTGAACTGGGTTGAGACCCTTGGGCCTGGAGGTAGAGATGGGCACTGTGATACCAGAATTTGCCATCAGATTAGGCCTTGGATGAGCAGAAAGTGGGGTAGTCTGAGCTAGGGACACTAGGTGACGATCATCCAGGTCTGTCAACCTCGGAGCCAGAGCTCTGAAAGGCTATAGGAGGGGTAACACACCGCCTTTAGAAAGCACCAAACTGGCCTGTCACTCTTCAGCTGTCCCCGGGCCTGCCCCATGTCCCCGGGAAGCACTTGGGATCAGGATACATGCCAAGGGCTGAGCTGGTGTTTTTCCGGTAACCTCAAAGTTTAGAGCAAAGACCTGGGCCCTGGTGTTGGCTCTCCTATTATCCTGAGGCCCTCATACAAGCAAGCCACTTCTTCTCAGCCTCAGGGACCCTACTATGTGTGTGGAGTGGGAGTGGGGAGTGGATTAAAGGAGGTAACATATGCAAAAGTGTTTCAAAAAGGAACTCATTTTAGTCAAATGGGAACTGTTACACTTATCATTTTATTTTTAAAGCTTATTAAGTTCTGGTTGTAAACTCATTCCATAACTCGGGCCCTGATGGTCAACAATGTCATAACCACCTTCTATAAGAGTGGGAGGCTCCTGGTGGTGTGGCTGTTGATGAGAAGCAGGGCAACATTAGTTCTTCTGCAGCTTTCTTGGAAAGACAATGCACAATACGGAAAATCCCAGGCAGAGGACTAGAGACTGTGTTCCCTTCGCCAATGGCCATGGTCAACTCATTCAGTTTTTCCTAATCTGTTTCCATTACACAAAAATGGAGGCAGTGGGCCAGCAGCTTCCGTGTTACTGTGACCTTGGCATTTTTTGGATACAGCCATGCAGGATGCAGCATAGCAGGTGAAGAGCTTAGGGTTCTAAGCCAAAACCCTTGATCTGACCTTCCCCCGCTTGAGTGCCCCTGAAAAAAGCAAGCCCCTACTCCCAAGTATAACATCACCATCTTGCGTTAGTATGAAGACTCGCAAAGAGCCTTCCCACACATGACCTCCATAGGAGTTGTAGGAAGCAAAATAAGGCTTGAAGGGATGGGATGCCTTGGTCAAAACCTCAAGGCTAGTGAGAGGTAGGCAGGCAGGACTGGAACGTGGACCTGCCCCAGGCATCTTGGGACTGTACCCTTTCTATTACAATATGCAACCCTGAATGGAAGGTGGGGGTCCTATACCTCAGGCTGGGGAGACACAGAGGCGAATATCCTCAGGGGCCAGTAGACGCAGAGACCCTAATCTTTGCAAATTCTAGCACATTAGTAGTGGTGTGTTGGGAGAAAGGGCACAACCCTGTTCCATTGCCCCGGCTACCATTTACTCTTCCCAAGCCACAGTCCCCACGATCCCTGCTACCCAGTAACATCACATTCTTGGCTGCAGGTGAGGTTTCTGGAGCAACAGAACAAGCTACTAGAGACCAAATGGAACTTCCTACAGCAGCAGAGGTGCTGCCAGAGCAACATCGAGCCCATCTTCGAGACTTACACTTACGCTCTCCAGAAGCAGCTGGACTGTGTGGCTGGGGACCCAACGAGGCTGGAGTCAGAGCTCTGTAGCCTCCAGGAAGTGCTGGAAGGCTACAAGAAAAAGTGCGTCTGCCCATGGGGGATGACATGAGCATGGACTTCAGGGCCTGACAGACACCATCATAAGCCAGCTAGAGACCTAGGGCAAGCTACTTAAACAATCTGGACCTCAGTTTCCCCATCTATAAAATGGGAAGCCTGAAACTTAGTTCATTATATGGTAGAACAACTTAGTAGGATGACATAGGCAGAGCATATAGGTCTACTGCCCATTTGTCACATGGTGTTATTGTTAGCTGCCAGCAAGTTGGCCCCTGACTCATGGCGACCCCGTGCACAATGGAACGAAACGCTGCCTGGTCCTGTGCCATCCCCCTAATTGATTGCAGATCAGACCATTGTGACCCATAGGGTTATCACTGGCTGATTTTCAGAAGTAGATCACTAGGCCTTTTTTCCTAGCCCATCTTCGTCTGGAAGCTCTGCTGAAATCTGTTTAGCATCATAGCAATAAGCAGGCCTCTACTAACAGATGGGTGGTGGCTGCACTGAAGGTGCATTGAGCTCTGAAATTATACATTTCTATCTTTCTCTCTCCTCCCACAGCCCTGCCTAGATAAGGCTTCATTCTCACTGTAAGTCAGATGCTTTCACCTGCCATTTCAGCCACTCCAGGTTTCTGCTGCAAACCACCTGTTCTGCCCTGTCTTACATCAATCCTTTGCAAATCCTGAACTACCTCCTATTCCCCAGGCAGATTCCCACACATTCCTCCCTCCAAGCTTCTGCTTCTGCTGTCCCTTCCGCCTGATAAGCCCTCTCTCTAATAAGCACTTGCAGGCTAACAGGCTGTTGTAGTTAGTTGCCTTTGAGTCGATTCCAACTCATGGCAACACCATGTATGCAGAGTAGAACTGTGGGGTTTCAAAGGTGTGACCTTTCAGAAGCAGATGGCCAGGAGTGGGTAGCTGATATGCATATGTGAATGAAGGATGTGCCGATGTGCCGGCATGCAGAATCTAGTGTCTGCAAGAGGTTGAAACCCAGATAAATTGCTATCACAGGTCCTGGGGGACCCATCCTAGGCCAATGCCCCATGGGAGGGCATGTTCCAGTGGGGCGGGACAAACTGGGCACATTTTCAGTGATGAGAAGCAAGTGCAAATATACTGAGAGTAATGACTGATAAGGATGTAGGTCCCTGGAATGGAGCCAGGTGGGAGACTCCAGTGAAGCAAGTGTCATCTATGCTCCTGCCTGATGCCAGACCCTGTGATGGGAGGCTTGGGTGTTTGAGAGAGGAAAAAAGGCTACCTCCTTCCTGCAAGATGCCCCAGTCCAGTATGCACGGACCACTCATGCATGCACAGGGACAGCTTCAGTGTGGTGAAAAGCAGGAGGGGAGAGGAATCCCAAGGGAGGGAGAGAGCAGAAGGGACCCAGGAAGGCTTCTTGGAGGAGGTGCCATTTGCTTGGGACCTTGAAGGATAAGTTTCATTCCAGTGACTTCTTAATAAGAAGGGTGTCCAGAGGAGGCCCTGGGAAGGAAGACGGACAGAAGCAGATGACAAGAGCGCACCAAGTGAGAGAGGACAACTCAGGCAAAGGCTGTGACAGAGACAAGACGCAGCAAGGCTATGGGACTGAGTGGAGGGAAGGAGGAGACTGGCCCCCTCAGCTGAGAAGTGCCTTTCTGAGCAGTAAATAGCAAGATAAGACCAAAGATGGTTAGGAGACATCGTATGCCGCTCAAGCTGAGGACTTTGGATTTTAAAAGCAGGGCAGTAGGAGAAGGGTGAGATCAAAATGGTATTTTAACAATAATAGCAAACACACAGTACTTATTCCCTGCCAGGTACTGTCCTAGTGCTTTGCAGATATTAACTCATGTGATAAATTAACTCACAGCAGACCTGTGAGACAGGTACTCCGTGAACAGGTACCCTGTTGTCCTCCTTCTACAGATGGGGCACAGAGAGGTTAGGTACCTTACCTAAAGTCACAAAACTAGCAAGTGACAGAGCTGGAATTCAAACCCAGTCCATCTGGCTCCAGGGTCCACTGCCAGAGCCTCAGCAGAGTTCTGGTGGGAAAAGGAAAGATGGGCGTCAGGAAGCACAGTGAAGCTTTCAATGAATCGAAGTCACTCATCAAACTGAGTCATTCCGAACCCTCTGAACCTGATTTCCTCGCCTTGGGGAGCAGTGAGTAGGCCAAAGAGTTCCCTGGGAGCCTAGCAAATACTTGGGCCACCTCTATGGGCCTGGAGTAATTGCTACCTCTGCAACTGAAATGCCAGGTTGAGGCCAGGCTCAGAACCTCCTGGTGAGGAGTGGGCACGGGGTCTGCCAGAAACTTCAGTGACTGCAGTCAACTCTCAGAACAACTCCAAAGAGTCAGAGCTGTGCCAGCAACAGCCAGCCAACTGTCCTCCACCTTCCCAGAGGAAACAACTAGATGAAGTGGGCTTCCTTAGCAGAAAGATAGAATGAAGGTGGCTTTAAGAAGGACTTACCAGGGGATGATTCATCACAAGAACAGGATACAGGGGGAAGATGGTTAACTTGAAAACTGGCTAATGAGAGGCTATGTTAATAATCATCTGTCTTGAATGGTAGGAAGGGCTAGAGGTGCCCACAGGCGGCTGGACCTGGTGACCTCTTAGGTTGTTCAGTCAGAGAGAGGCAGATTTGGAACCTAAAGGCCTCTTCCCTCAGGCCTGAAACCAAGGCCTTTTCCAAACTCCAGAAGCCTGACTATAACATTTCTTTCTCCTCATCCCTCCAGATATGAGGAGGAGCGCTCCCTGTGACCCTGTGCCGAGAATGAGTTTGTCGCCTTGAAGAAGGTAAGGGGGGATGTGGCAGAGTGGGAGAAGTCCCCCTGTGCTGGCACAGCTGGCCTAGGACACTCAGCCCTGGACTGTGTCCGAAAGTGTCTGCTGCCCACCTACCCACAAAACGGTCTCTCCCCCCTCAGACTCTTGTGCCAGCCCCACTGCCCCCATGAAAGGGACGTCAGCCTCCTCCCGCCCCTTGCAAGGGGGCAGTGATTGACCTGGCCTCAACCTCCCAACTCACTTGGGCTAAAGAAGGTTAAGCGCGGTGTCTACACCTGCCCGAGAAGCTGGAGAGGTGGTAATCCCAAATCAAAAACTCTGACAGGAACACCCCAAGATGAAAACGGTCATGATGATTCCTTAGATAGACACACAGCCAGATGTTTCCAGGCCTGAACTCCACAAAGTGAGCTCTGAGGAGCCACAGTCAAGGCTCCTTTAAGTCCCTTCTTTCAGATCCTTCCCCATCAGGGTTCCAGGCCATAGCCTGGGGTCCAGGGGCTGGGGACACCCTCCTCCCCCAGCCTTGGTTCTGTCACCCTTTCACTTCTACTTGGGTCTGAGGAAAGGTGGGACGCGAACCTGCCACCTGCTACCAGCTGGCCTGGAAGGGGGCCCTGGCTGGTGGAAGGTGGTCCTCTGAGGAGAGCTTGCTGGGAGCCAGACCACAGCCAGTGCCCCAGCCCCAGGTTACAGTCTGTCACTGCTCTGCCACAGGATGTGGACACAGCGTTCCTGATGAAGGCTGACCTGGAGACAAACGTGGAGGCTCTGCTCCAGGAGATCGACTTCCTGAGAGGCCTGTATGAGGAGGTACCTGCGGCCAGGCTGCCCACCAGGTGGTCAGTCTGGGCCAGTCCCAAGGGACCAAGGGACCGATGGGGTGGGAAGGCTCCTGCCTGTGGGCACATTTCCAGACTAGCCGACTTAAAAATGAGCACGTAACGAAATCAGTGGGGACAGAGGTTCTCAGGCAGTGAGACCCCCAGAAGATGGATCTTTCAGACCTGGGCTCTCAGGCCCCTTTGGGAAAGTTTCCACAGGACTCGGTGTAACTAGACGGTCGGGATGAGGAGCAAGTGGATGACTGAGGGCCCAGAATGGCTATAGTAAAGTCCCGTGCAAATCTGTCACCTGAATGTCAAAGCAGGTTCTCCCCCTTCCCCCACTTCTCTCCCCCTTTGTCCTCAAAGAGCTCACTCATTCTCTCCCGGGGCCCTCCCCCAGGAGATCTGCCTGCTCCAGTCTCAGATCTCAGAGACCTCGGTCATTGTGAAGATGGACAATAGCAGGGAGCTGGACATGGACAGCGTCATCGCCAAGATCAAGGCCCAGTATGACGACATCGCCAGCCGCAGCAAAGCTGAAGTGGAGGCCTGGTACCAGTGCCGGGTGAGGCTTGGGGAGCGAGAGGTGGGTGGGAGTTGATCCCCGACCTGCTCCCCCAGAAAGCAGGTGAGAAGTTAATGAGGGCTGTGCCACGCCACAGCCACAGGGAACCACGTAAACCCCATCCCTGCTGTTGCTGCTGGGCTCACGGACAGGTCTCTGCAGAGCATGTGGGAGGGGACCCTACAGACAGCCTAGGCCTATTATCAGGGTGCCATGGGCATCCAGCCGTATTTACCTGCAGACTTACCGGAAGTACTGGCTCCAGGCCTGGACTCTAAGCAACAGTCAGTAAATACTAATTTTTGATGAAGGCAAAGAGGGCTCCAGGCTTTAAGGCGTGGAAGGCAGCTGGTGGCATGGGGTGGTTACTAATGGAACAGAAACAGTGATTAAGGTGGCCGAGACTTAGGTAATTAAGGGCTTGCTGGGAGGGCAGGCATGCCCCCGAGGGCAATTGGATTTAACAATATTATCATCTCTGCCTCACCTACCCTGCCTGTGAAAGGCACCATGCAAGTGTTCATTCATTCTCTAATTCATTCATTCAACAACTGTTTATCATGCACCCATTAAACGCCAAATGCAGTTCCAGATGCTGGAGATGCAGCAGGGGACAGAACACACACAGTCCCTGCCTTGTGTCACTTTCATTCTAGAAACAGGAGAGACAGACAATAAACCAAATCGATAAATGCAATGGATGTGTGTTCGATGCTGATAAGTGCTATGGGGACAATAAATCAGGGTACAGGTTAGGGGGTGGTGTGGGGTATGATTTAAATAGGGACATCAGGGAAGCGTGGCCTTGCTGAGGAGTGTGGCCTTGAGAGGATATGAAGAATCAGAGCATCCCTGTCCTCAAGGAGATTCAGGGAGGGAGGCAGCAGGGGGAGAGAGGAAAGAGATGTGTAAGCAACCAAACCAAAATACAAGGTAGCATGAAATGATTGCTAAAGCAAGCAGTAGGCAGTAGGCTATGGGAATGATGACAGAGCAACAAATTGTGTCTGGAGAGGCAGAAATATTGCCATTTGATGTTAATCTTGAAGGACAAGTAAGATTTCAATAAGCAGAGAATAGAGGTTGGGTGGTCAGGCTGAGGAGCAGCAGGAGCCAGGAGAAGGAAGCATGGAAGTTCACGGCTGAGGTCTCTGGAGCGTGATGTTCTGTGAAAGAGATCAGGCCCAGAGGTATCCGTGGACGAATCACAGGAGGTCTACAGAGCTACGCTAAAGGACTTTAGACTTTTTTTTCTGAAGGCAGTGGTATCACTGCCCAGGGAGAACCCCAAGTGATGCTCTATCCATTTCGTAGAGGTACATGGTGATCAGAAGTAGCAAACCCTGGCCTGGAGTCAACTCCTGGCCCATCCACAGCCAGGTCTCACCCTAGCAGGCTCTTCCTCAGGTTGCCTTCCTGGGCCACCCATGAGTCAGGTAGTCTCAGGGAATACAATCTCATTTTCCCATCCTCCTAAGTCAGACAGAATCAGAAAGCCAACTCTATTAATTAAGGATTGTATTTAGCTGTAAGGATCAGAAATCTAACAATAGTTAAAACAGGTTAGGTTTTTACTTTTTTCTCAGATAACTTGAAGTACAGAAATAGATCAACAGGGATGGCATGGTGGTTCTCTGATGCTATCAGGGACCCAGGCTCCTAGACTTCCATCATCCTTACATATACGTTCATCCTCATGGTTGCCTCATGTCCCCAAAAGGCTGCTATACCTCCAATGTCACATACTCATTCCAGGCAGGAATAAGGAGAACAGAGGGCAGAAGAAACGTGCCAGCTGAGTCAACCTCCACTTTAAAGAGCTTTCCTGGAAGCCCTACCCAGCAACGTCTATAGTTCTCACTGGCAAGAACTATACGGCAAGTCCTCCATAGCTGCAAGGAAGGCTGAGAAATAATTTCTTATCTGGGCTCATTGCCACCCCAAACAAAAGCAGTGCTCTTTTTTAAGAAGAAGGGGAGAGTAGATATTGGTTAGGCAACTGCAGGATCTCCCACAGTAACCAAATAACAAAAGAGCCAAAGAGAGTGAATTTGTGATTGTCTCTTGTTTGGAATTTTCTATGCAATATGCTCCCATCCATTATATGCAGAAAATCTAGAGTTGGCCAATTTTTTAAAATCTATAAATGTAAGCTATAACATTTACTATACAGAAATTCTTTTCAGAGTACAAAGGTTAAAAAAAAGTGTTAAGCCAAGGTAGGACGTAACATTGCGTTTTGTTTTCAATTGTTTTCAGACAGAACACTAAAACGTACTCACCCCAATGGACATATATGGTCTGACCTCAGTCCTTGATCGGATAGGCATCCCAGGCTGAGCTCAGAAACCCCTTCCAAGGTCTGGAGGGATGTCTAAAAGGGAGAGCCACCCTTGGGAGACTATTGGGCTCTGGGACAGGGAAAATAAGATGAGACATTGAGAAAAGGATGAAACACAGGAAAGCTAGAGAGAGAAGAGGAGGTCTTGGAGCTTGGAGAGGAATTTCACAAGCCTGAAGACCCAGGGCTACAAGGGGAGAAAGAAGGATAAGGAGCGACCCATGTAAGGACACTGCAATTGGCTGGAAACAGAGAGGAGACAGGAGCAAAATAGGTGTAAGAATCCAGAGAGCACATGAGCAATCACTGGGGAAGGGACTCAGAGCACCTGAGCTGGGATCACTGGAGAAGAGAGTCGGGGCAGTGAGAAAGACAGTGAGCATATCCCAGAGTGTGGGGGCCTGGGGTTCTGACCTCCCCTGTCCCGGCAGTTTGAGGAGCTGAAGATGACAGCTGGGAACCACTGTGACAACCTCCGCAACTGCAAGAATGAGATCCTGGAAATGAACAAGCTGATTCAACGGCTGCAGCAAGAAATTGAGAATGTCAAAGCCCAGGTGAGGCCAGGGAAGAACCCATCAGAGGCTGACTTGCCCATGTGGGGCCATGTGGGGCAAGTCCAACATTCCCTGGGAGTGCTGAGGAAGAGGGAGCAGACTTGTGCTGCCTTGCTTAAGAGGAAGCGAGCTCCTTCTTCAGAAGAGCTGACCTGAGTCAGGATGAGCAGCCTCAGGACAGTGAGGTCCCCAACAGAGGCTAGATGACCTACTGTCAAAGATGAAATAGCAAGAGTGCTTCACTTAACGGGAGAGTAGAAAAGATGGTCTCCATGGTCCTTTCCAACCCAAAGACTCTGTAATTCTCTGAACTTGAAATTCAAGGTGACTCCAAGGAGTTCAGAAAACCAGACCCACTCTATCCTCCAAGGCTAGTAAAGACCAGTCAGATGCTTAAAACATACCTACTAGCCCCAAAGAAATTGTTCATCGTATCTGAGAGGGATATCTCAGATCCCCTTGAGGTGTTATAGACATGAGAGCTGGTCCCAATTTCCTGGAGGAACTATATATCACAATCCTAGGATGAAACTCATAGCAGATTTGAGTCTGGCATGTAAGCATCACCATGTCCTCTCTGCTCTTCTGAGAGTCTGCTCAGGACTCCAGGGCCCCCCATAATGCTTTTCTGCGCTGTCTCCCCCAGTGCTGCAAACTTGAGGGTGCCATAACCGAGGCAGAGCAGCAGGGTGAGGCGGCCCTCAGCGATGCCAAGTGCAAGCTGGCCGGGCTGGAGGAGGCCCTACAGAAGGCCAAGCAGAACATGGCTTGCCTGCTCAAGGAGTACTAGGAGGTGATGAACTCCAAGCTGGGCCTGGACATCAAGATCGCCACCTACAGGCGCCTGCTGGAGGGCGAGGAGCACAGGTGAGTTCAGCGAGGGCAGGTTAGTCAAGGGTGGGTACCAGGTGTGTGTATTGTCCAGCCCTCTGGTTGCCGCTGCTGCTGCTGCTGCTACCCAGCCCAGGGTCATCAAAAATCCAAACCTGCACACAGTTCACAGCCCTCATAATGGTCCATGGTGAGGGCATCTAAGGAGCCCTGGTGGCGCAGTGGTTAAGCACTCAGCTGTTAACCGAAAGACCAGCAGTTTGAACCCACCAGCCGCTCCTCAGGAAACCCTATGGGGCAGTTCTACTCTGTCCTATAGGGTCGCTACGAGTTAAAACCAACTCGACAGCAATGGGTATGGTGCAGGCAGGAGAAGGGGAGATGCAAATGCCTACCTGCCTTGTTCTCTTTCATGCAGTTACTTTGTGTCTTCTTCTCTTATCCCCAGGCTGTGTGAAGGTATCGGGCCAGTGAATATCTGTGAGTAGATGAGCCTTGCTCCAAGGGCTCCGGGGTCTTGGAGGTTGATCAGACCAGCACAGACAGCCCACACCATCCCTGCCCGGGCCTCTGCATGCCCTCCAACCCCAAAAGAAGAACTCTGTCTGCCAGGAGCTCCTGGTCTGACGGCGAGCTCCCTCGAGGCTGTCTTTTGGGGGTCAGAACTGGAAGCAGATACTTAGCATAGTTTTAGTGCTTCAAGGCCCATAAGCTGCAAGGAACCGTACTAACACGGGACAATTTTCTGGAGAAAGAGAATTTGAAGCAGGCTCAAGAAAGAGGGACGAGGCAAGTAGAAACAGAGACGGTGACTCAGATATCAGGACTGGCCTTGTCAAGGCTCCGGGTAAAGGCAGGTGGGGAACTTCTAAACACTTAATGTGGCTGGAGGGGGAGACATGGACATTGGTAGATGGATTGGGAGCGTCATTAGTGGTGAGTGGCAGCAGGTAGGGGGCATGGCCTGGCTGAGATGTTTCAGGGCAGACACCCCTAGTGCCATGTGGTACAGGGCCCTGAGCACCCCTTCCTGTTCCTGCAGCCGTGAGCAGCTCCAAAGGCGCTGTCCTGTACGATCCCTGTGTAGTCAGCAGACCCATGCTGAGGACCGAGTACTGCCTGGGGGGCACCAGCATCCTGCAGAGCAGTGGGGGCTGCAGCATCATGGGCACTGGTGAACTCTATATCCCCTGCAAGCCCCAGGGAATACTGGGCTGGGGGAGCGGGCGCAGCTCCAGCATGAAGCTGGGGGCTGGGGGCTCCGCCAGCCACAAGTGTTAGCCCCTCCCTAGAGGCTTGAAGCCCAGGGAACAGGGCCCCACCACCCTGGCCCTGGATTTGCACCTCCATTGGAGGTGAAGACAAGGATATTCCAAAATCGCCATCTCCTTGTATTAACTCCAGACTTCCCTTGGTTTTCAATGAGAGCGGCCCCTCAGGTGCACTCATATCTTAGCTATGTGCAGACCCTGAGTTAGGCTCTAAGGGAGGGGTGGGCTGCACAGAAATATATCCCCCGTGTCTCCTGCACTGGTGACAGTCCAGCCCTAGCGTGGCCAAGAGAATGGCTACCCTCTTTGGAATGAGAAGACCTGCTTTGTGGATGATCCTATGGAAGTTTCCCCACAAGGCCAGCCTCCTTTGCCCCAAGAGGCACCCCACCCCACCTTATCTCTGACTATCTTGCAGCCTAAGTGAACTTCTTTTAATACCCACCTGAAACATATACTATTGCCAATGTCAAAAAGAGACACCCCAAATCCCATTCTGAATTCCAAAGCTAACAGCCAGGATTTCAGAATCACTTAGGACCTGCCAATGTTCCTGTCAGCACAGGAAATCGACAGGTGGTCTCTGGGCAGTAGCTTTGCCTGCTCAGGTCTGTTGAACTCACACTATGAAAAGGAGTCTTTTTCCTGAGCCCACATTGGCAGCTGAAAGAGGGAGGCTCCCAGGAAAACTCCCAGAACAAAGGGCAAGGGGACGTGGAATATTTACTGGAGAGATGGAGGATCAAAAACTGAAATTATTTGCTCAATGGAATCAAGCCCTTTCCCCTCCCCTATCCTGTAAATAGCCACCCGGTTCCTGCTCCCTCTCCCTTTAGTTTCCCTTGGTTTGGGTCTGATATGAACGTGTTTTCCTGGCTACAGTGATGTTGAGCTGCCTCAGCCATCTTGGAAGATCTGGCTCTGGCACTGGGGGAGCTTGCCTGACTAAGATGGGAGGAGGTGCTGCTCCCCAGAGGCCCCGCCCCCAGTGCTGCATCACGCAGAAGCCCCTCCCACCAGGAATCCAAGGTCTCAGCCATGATGAGCTTTTTGGGCTTTTCTGTTCCAATAAACTGACTCTTGGTCACAGGCTACAGGAATCAGGATTATTCAGCCTGCACTGTGGGCATTATGAGGCTGAGGGGGAACCCATAAGCAGCCTTTGGTGGATGGGGGGCTTGGGAGTGGAAATAAAGGTTGTTACAGAACTGGGAAAGTTACATATGAATGATTTGCAAGTGGCGTGTAGAATAAATGCGGATCCATAAAAACCACACTTAACACCCAAGCCACTTGTCACATAAAAACCACACACCTACTGCACAGAGGCCTCCTCATATGCCCTAGAGAAAATCCTGGGGCACCCCTATCATGTCTATAGTACTTAAAACACCAATTGCCGTGGAGTCCACTCCAACTCATAGTGACCTCATGTGTGTCGAGTAGAACCGTGCTCCATAAGGTTTTCAAGACTGATATTTTGAAAGTAGATCACTAGGCTTTTCTTCCCAGGCACTTCAAGGTGGACTCCAACTTTTCAGTTAGGAGTTGTTTGCACCACCTAGGGACTCCATATCAATCCTTAGCAGCCCCAAAGTCCTGGGCTCTGCCTCCCCATCCCCTCTCCATCTCAGTATCTGGACAGCCCTGGCCAGAGAAAGCAGTCAAGATAGGTGGTAGCTGGTGAGAGAGGAAGGCCAGGATCCTCCAGTCTCCCCTCTCCTCTTGTTGTTGTTACTTGCTATCAAGCGGATTCCAACTCACAGAGACCCCACACGTGCAGAGTAGAACTGCTCCATAGGGTTTTCAAGGCTGTGACCTTTCAGAAGCTGACCACCAGGCCTGTCTCCAGAGGCATCTCTGGATAGGTTCGAACCTTCGGTCTTTCGGCCTTTTGCACCGCCCAGGGACTCCTTCTCCTCTTGGGATGGGGGGATCCCAAGTCCTGGGCTCTTCCTCCTCACTCCCAGACCATTATCCTTGCCTGGACAGCCCTGGCCTAGGGGAAGCAGTCAAGGTGGGCAGTGGCTGGCAAGGGAGAAGGACCAGGACACTCCAGTCTCCTCTTAGTCTCCTCTTAGGGAGCACCAAGACCTAGAGACAAGACCTGGTCAGCAGTGGCTCCACACTCCGTGAGGCCCCAACTCCCCTCCCTGTTGCCTCCCTGTCCCCGATCTCCACCCTTCCTCAGGGGCTCTCTTCCCTTTGTGGGCACCTTTCCTGAGAGTTGGGGTATAGCTCCCCACCCCCAGAGCCCTATACTGAGCATCTATTGTGTGCCAAGCCACACCACATGGGGCTCCCAGCCCAGCAGGGAATAGTCTTGGAACCCGAGATCACTGGTGTGAGGGTGCTTGTGAAAGGCCATGACAGAGGGCCATGGGGGCATAGCTGAGGGTGTCACCTTAGTCACAGAAATCAGGATGCTTTCCAGGAAGAGGACAGGCAAGCCTGAATCCTGAGATTGGTGGAGATAGTGAAAGATCTGGGCAAGGGAGCAGCCACTGTGAGCCGGAGAGAGTGTGTATGGCTGAAGGAAGCACATGCTTGGGGCCTGGGAGTCTCAGTGTCCCTTGAAGCCACTCTGGACCTGACCCTAGTGTCAGCTAAGCTCCCTGCTAGTTAAAAAAATCAAAGCTCTGCAGACAACAAGGGCACTCTAGCCTAGAGTTGGCAGAAACAGAGATTCCAAGGAGACCACCTCTATGCCCCACTGGGGTTTTCTGACTGACTTAGGAGTCAAGCAGGAGAGGGAAAGAAGGCTCTTGCCACCTCCCTCCAAGGTGTGCTCCAGGCCTGGCAGCTGTCCCTTAGGGACTTCACATTCCAGAGCGCCCGGGCCTCTACTGAGTGTATGCTGGGGAGGGGAGGCTGTTTGGAACCATCCATCAGGCCCTGCTCATCCCAACAGTGGGGTGCTCCCATTCTCCCTCTCCTTCCCGAAGGAGGAAATGACTCAGGGCAAGCGCAACTAAAGTGCCTCCTGGTGGCATCCCAGTGGGTTCACATTCCACTCATCTCAGCAAACATCTCCTGAGCTTCTCCTCTGGGCCAGTGCCTTGCTGGATGCCGGGGATACGGGGATGATCAGGTCCCCTGCCCGCGGGGAAGAAGAGACTTGAGCAAGAGAGGAAGAACTGCATGAATCCAGAGCCTCAATGTATTCAGCTTGGCTCAGGAATCCAAACTCTGGGTTCTTTTCAGAGCACTCCAGTGAGGACCAGATAAGGAAGCCCCAAAAGTCATGGTGAGGGTGGGTGATGGGGAAGGAAGGGTTTTGTCAATACATCTGTCTCCCCAGAACTTCCACTTCCCTTGTCCCTTCCTGCGTCTTCCTCCCATAGCTCCCACGTGCTCTTCTCCCCACACTGCCCTTCCTTGCTCCACTGCCCCCTCCTCAGGCACCCTCTGCCTCTGCCTCCCAATGACCCTTGTATCATCACGTCAATGAACCCAGGTCCAGCCACTACTGCCATGCTCCACCCAGGAGTTTCCAAGTGCCCAGGAAAAATCCTGGAGGGGGCTGAGACTGGGGGAAAAGACTTCTGAAAATGCACCCCAGCAAAGAAGGGGAATTTAGGACCACTGAGTCCCATAGAAGAAAGAGGACTGCTTCCCAGCCATTCTGCACATAGATGCAATGTGGGCACACATCAAAAACCACTAATTGCCCTCCAGTCGATTTTGACTCATGGCTACCGCATGTGCGTCAGAGTAGAACTGTGCTCCATAAGGTTTTCAACTGCTGTGACCTTTCAGAAGTAGACTTCCAGGGCTTTCTTCCAAGGCATCTCTGGGTGGACTTGAACCTCCAACTTTTCAGTTAACAGCCAAGCCTCCAGTAAATGTTTGTTAAGCCTACAAGAAGCAGCATTTTCACTCTGGACAGGTGACAGCTGTGTGGGTGGTGCGAGGAACTTAGATGAAACCTGGAAAAGTTGTTCTGCCTGGCAGGAATGTGGAAACAAACAAGAGGGAGGTGGTGTTTAAATGCCACAAGAGCATTCATTAATCTAAGCGGGCAGAGAGGCGGATGTACTGGGCAAGGGTGGGCTTACCACCCCTGGCTGTCTCCTCCTGCTGGGGACTCCCAAGCTTTCTTTCCCAACAGGGGCAGGTCTCCACATGAAAACTCATCCCCAGGCAAAACGGAAGCACTCTGAAGAAGGTGGCTTTTAGCAAAGCCTTCTCAGCATCTGGATTCCCCCCACTCTTCACACACACACACACACACACACACACACACACACACACACACAGCCGCAGTGAGCCAGGGTTCCCAGACCCTTCTTAGCTAACCAAGGTAGGGTCCCCCTCCCCTACCCATCCCACCCCACCCCCGTCCACTCAGCATTTCTCCCTCCTCCCTGCTCTGTTAATAGCATCATGATGACCCAGCAATCATCACACACAGTTGAGGCACTGGGGCTGGGCTCAGCCAGCAGATCTTGGGATTACGATCAGGTTGACTGACAGCAATCCCAAGAAACTGTCACAGCAGCAAAATCTCCAGCCAGAGTTACCAGGGCAACTCCTCCTCTTCTCCCCACCTAAAAAATGGCTGAGGGTGGCATTATGCATGATCTGGAGAACTGATGTCTCAAAACTATAGAACTGCTGATGGGAACAGCTCACACTGGAATAGGGATTATGCTTCACTGGTCCCCATTACTCCTACCACACCCAGCCTGTCAGGGCTAAGAAAGCTAAGACGAGACAGCCCAGGAATGGCTAATGGCGTAATGAATGCCACAGCCACAGGAGCAGGAAGGAGGTGGGGTGCTGGACTGGAACAGGGATGCCTGCTTAGAAGTGAGGGCGAGATTATGTAAAAGAGATAGGAGGGAGGGAGGGAAAGAGAGAAAGAATGGATGATAACAATATTAATAGCTGCCAGGTACTATGCAGTTTACATTCCAAACATTTTCACAACTAATCCTAACAACAACACTGTTAAGTAGATATAGGTCCATTTTACAGATGAGCAAACTGAGGCTCAGAGAGGTTACT